GGGACTGAACCCAGAGAGTTCACATTGAGCTACACCCCCAGCCTTTTTAAATTTTTGGAAAAAAAAACACCTTTAAAAAAATTTTTTTTCTCACACGGAGTCTGCCTGAGTTGCTAAATTGACCAGGCTGAGTTTAAACTGGAGATTCTCCTGCCTCAGCCTAAGTGCCAGCTGGGACCTGGGCATGTGCGGGTCAGTGGGTCACAGGCCAGAGGAGTCAGTCATCTTTGGGTTAAGCTGTGATGTCTAAAGCTCTGTGGGCTGAGGGAGGACAGAGGAAGATGATGAGCTGGGGCCAGGGTTCTGCAGGTGGCCAGGGAGGGGCTGTGCATTGTGGCTGGGGCTTCACTGAGTGTCACTCCAGCAGACAGACTCACAGTGATGCCAAGTGACATTATTGTGCCCACCCTATAGGTTGGGAGACTGAGGTTCAGAGAAGTGAAATGCTGGGCCTAGGGCCATCCAAGAGGGGAAAGCCAAGCTTCAAACTCAGGTCTGGTGGGCGCTGTAGATTGCATTCTTTAGAAAAGCTGCTGGCTGAGGACCAGCCCCACAAATGGAGGATGAAGACCCTGAGGCTCAGAAAGGGGACAGGACTAGGCCTGGGACTGCAGCTTGCAAGTTTAGCAGGAGGACCCAGAGACAGTGCAGGTTCTCTGTCCTGTGCTCCCACTGGAGCCGGGTCTCTTTGAGCCCCTGGCTGAGCCCTGTGGCTAAGTCCTTGCATGGGTCCTGGGGAGGTCTGTAGTTTCCATGGAGACCACCTCCCACCGCCCCTGCAATCCCATTGTGACCAGCATTAAGGGATTAACTGCCCAGCAGCCTTCGAAGCGTCTTGAGTGCCAGGGAGGCAGCAGGAGCCGGCTCAAGGATGAAGAGGTTGCCCCGTCTGTGGGGCCTCATAGCAACAGGAGATGTCGGACAGGAACCAGGGCTCCCCCTGGGACCCACCAGGTAGGGTCCTGACTCCACACTGCACAGAAGGAAGGAAGCATGGGGTGGCAGAGGAGACAGGAATCCAGGGGAGGAGCCTGAATTTCAGAGCAAGTCAACAGCTCCCAGCTCAGGAAGTATGGGGGCTGTGATGGGTGAATTATACTCTGGTCAGAACAGGATCCAGGTCCTCTTGACAAGATGAGAGGTGCCCCATAGACTCCTTTGGGGATACTCCAAGGCTGCCAAAGAGGAGCTGTCTAATCATTTTGCATTTGGGGAAACTGAGGCACAGGTGAGAAGGTGACTTGCCCCAAGTCCCTGGATTGAAGCAGGTCACAGGTCAAGAATCCAGAGGGAACCCAGAGGGTGCCTGAGCAGGAACAGAGGTTAAAATCTCTTTGCCACCTCTGTCTGGAATTCTGAATCCCCCCAAGGAAGGGTTCCCCCAGCACCTGCTCCCTAGGACCTGTGCCCCTGGCCACACTTCCTTCCTTCCCTGCCTCTCCTCCTGCCCTCCCTGTTGCCCACACAGCCCAAGGCCCAGAAAGTCCTGGGCAGGCTCCTTAGTGCTGGAGGGCACCAGGCTCCGACTGTCCCACCCAGGGAACACCCATATGATTTTGAGCCATATGGATGTAATAATGATTCAAAAATGAATGTAAAAATTTAATAAATTAGGTAAGAGCATATAAAAATCCTACGTGCTTTTTTTTTGAGACAGGATCTCAAAAAGTACTTCAGGCTGGCCTTGAACTCATGGCAATCATCCTGCCTCAGCCTCACGCGTGCTGGGATCTCAGGTGTGTGCCACCATACCTGGCCCTACTTTAATAATCCGAGAGATGCGAGAGTATCATACATCTTCCAGAAATGAGCTCCATGTCATTGAATCCTTGACCTGGAAGAGCCCTTTATTTTAAATGAATGTCCTACTGCCAATAACTGGAGCCATCTCTGTGCTGGGCACAGTGCAGGGCACTGTGTGGATTTTGCCCATGGATTTTATGAGGAACGTTGTCATCAGTCCCATTTTACACATGGGGAAACTGAGCTTCACTGAAGTTTCAACTATTAAATTACAGTAAGCTGTAAAACTTGAGCCTCCTTGGTGAGGCCTTTCTAGCTCCGAATTTCAGATCTTCCCATGGAAGGTCTCAAATCTTGGCTCCACCTCACAATCATCTGGGAATTAAACAAAAAACCCTGCACCACTCATCCCACCCCACCCAAGATTCAGTCATTGGTTTGTGCTGAGGCCTGAGTTTTGTTGTTATTTTTGGTTTTGCCCCCCCCCCCCCGCCCATGCTGGACATCTAACCCAGGGCCTTGCAGGTAGATGCAAGCTACACCTCCAGCCCAAGTACCTGTATTTTTGTGTGTCTATGTGTTTGGTACTAGCGATTGAACCCAGGGCCTTCCCACTGAGCTACATCCCCAGCCCTTTTTATTTTTTATTTTGACACAGGGTCTCACTAAGTCACTAAGTTGCCCAGGTACCTTGAAATCCTCCTGCCTCAGCCTCCCAGAATGCCAGGATTATAGGTGTGCACCAACACATCTGACTAGCATCTATATTTATGAAGATCCAAAACAATTCTGCTTCACTACTTGGATGGTGTCTCTGCTTTATGCAAAAAGCAAGGAAATCAAGGGAGGGAAAGAAATGACTTTGCCCAGGGTTAGACGGTGGCTGGAACCAGAAGTGGACCAGGGCTCCCAGTCGCTTCCATACAGCTTTTGTGTAAGTAAAAAAGAGCCCCCCATCCTGGCAAGCAGAGCTCATGGGGTTTGGAACTGGGGCTGGATTTCACCCCCACTCAGCCCTTCTGGCTGGAAAACATTTGGCAGTGACTGACCTATGCAACTGTACACAGTGATCCTGGCCTGAGTCTTAGGACTTCCAAACTTTACCTCAGTGACCTCCAGACAAATCCCTGCAGCCCCTTGGAACAAGGATGTGGGGAGATTAAGGGTGGCTTCTAGGTTGCAGATTCCATCCTCACACCCAGGACTGGGGCTTGGAATAGGCAAGGGCTCCCTACAGCCTCAAGCTTGGTATCAGCAGGACAGGACCCATCTAACTGCCAAGGCCATTCCTGCAGATAAGGTCAGGAACATAAACAGGAGAGATGAACATAAACAGGTGAACAGTGACACTCTCACCCAGATGTCACAAGCCACCCGGTGGCAGGCAGGCAGCTCACATGGACACCCCACCCACACAGGCTGAGTCCTCCTGGCTTCCTTCCTGATCCCTCACTGGATCATCCGCTCTACCTAACCCCCTGAGCCTGGAGGTCAGCATCTCCCACAGTGCCCTGCTCTCTGGCCAGAGCAGCTTCCATGGCCCTTTACTGGCGGCCATCTTTTCAGAGTTAGTGTGGCCTTGGGTGAGAGCGTAGATTCTGGAGCCAGCTTGGATTTGAATCCTACTTCTCATTTCTATCTCTGTCAGCACATGACCCAAACCCTCTGTGCCTGATAAAACCACTGCCTTCCTCTCTGAGCGGCGGGAGAGTTCATGAGCACACGGACAGCCTTCCAGACAGCTGTGTACACATCGGCCATAGTTGTCAGCGTATGTCTCCATTTCATTCCTGTGACAGCCCAAGGAGTGAGATGTCATTTACAAGGGAAGAAACCGAGGCTCAGAAGGGCTGAGGGAGTCAGGGCAGAGCTCTGATCTTTCTCAAGGGCCTGAGGTCTCCAGAGACAGGACAGGACCAAGACAGGTCATGACATGGAGTGTCTGGTTCACAGCTTATGCTGCCGGTCCCACTCTTCAGAGGGCCACAGGACACAAGGCCAGGTGAAGTCCCCTGACTTGGGCCTTCTAGTAGCTCTCAGGCAGCCCTGGGAGGGAGAGGAAAAATGGCGGGCAAGGAGATCTGCAGAACCATCTGCTTCTCGACATCCTTCAACACTTCCCTGAGGCCATCAGCGAGAGCAGATCACCCCTGTCTCGGCTGGAGACCAAGATGACCAGGGTGACCTACGTCCTTGGATGAGTCTCTTCCTACCTCTGGCCTCCAGCTCCCCTTCTGCACCCTGAGGTGATGAGGCTGGACCGTGGTCTGGGATCCATGCTAAGAAAGGCCACATCTTGGAGGGCTTCACCTGACACACTGTTTGTGCTCCAGAAACCTCCAGAGTTGGGACTGAAAAGCCCCAACCCACATCCTCCCAAAGCTTCTCCTGGCTCCAAGGAGGATTCTCCAATTCCAAACTCAAAGCCATACCTTCACATCCCCATTTGGAAAGTCCCCCCCACCCCCAACCCTACTGCCTTTATCTCTCTTTGGTAACAGAGCAAATTTGCTCAGGACGAAGAGCAGGGCACAGGCAGACTGTTGACTTGAGCGAAACCTCCCCTTTGGAGGGCGGCAGAAGAGGCCGCTGGATGTCCACAGGGAGGCCAGCGGCCTCTTGCATAACCCAGGCGGCCTTCTGCTCACCCTGGGCCTTTTCAGGGTTAGGGGTGAGGCAAACCGCAAACTCATGCCCAGTTAATTTTTTAAGGCAAAACCAACAGGCTCAGCAATGATTAGCAGGTAGGTAAGTTCATCTTAATCGTGCTGAGGACAGGGAGGGAGGAAGGCGGCCAGCAGAGGCCCAGGGATGGGGCCAGTTATCAGTTAACCACATGAATGTTATTTCCTTCCAAACCCGCTGGTCTTCAGCCCCAGCTCCCTCATCTTCCTCTCAGAAATACTCTCGTGGCAACTCAGTGTCCATCAGCCACTAAGTGAACAAACACACGGGCACCTGTGGTTATTGCGGGAAGGCAGAGGGTCCTCCTTGTGAAGACCAAGCTTCTCACCACTGCTCTCCACAAGGAGAAAATCCCCCTGCCCTCTGGGGTGCCTGAGGGGCCCAGGCATAAGGCCCAGCTCCACAGTCCAATCTGCAGCAGCTGCCACTTGCTAGAGACCTCAGTGCCACCATCTGACACCTGGGTGGGTTAGGGAGAAGATTGTGCGACACCAGGGGATCAATCCACAGTGGTATGAGCAGGGTTCAGGAGCCCAAGAAGGAGCCGAGGCCCAGAGAGCCAGAGCACCTACCTGCCACTGGTGTCAGCAGGCACCAGATCCCAGCTCCAGGCAGAAACTGTGCTCCCAGTTGGCAAGCAAGGGTCCCAGTGGGTGGCTGAGGCCACAGGGATGGCCTGTTAGACCCCCGCTGCCCCGGACTCCTGCCCTGGGGTCTTCGGAGCTGCCAAAGGCGGCAGCAAGGCCAGGCCAGCCTCGGGCCAGGTGGCTGCCTGGACTGGAGTTTGGTCAGCAGTTGGGGACCTATATTGTGAGATAGTTAGGACTTTGTCCACAAACTGGAATTTGAAATTTCAAAGGGGCGAAACTGAAGGGCCCTACCCCAGAGTGGAGATGGCTCTTGGCTTCTTTCCCCCATGACTTTTGTTCTTTGTCTTGATAAGTCCTGGTTTCCCCTGCTCCGTGCTGGTGTTGGGTGGGGGAGGACGGATAAGAAATAGCGTCGAGGGGGAAGCCGAGGTATCAGTGCCCCGGGGTGTCCGGGTGTCCGGAAGATGTCTCTAGACCTGCGTCTGCCCAGGGACGTGGCCATGGCTTCCCAGATCCTGGGCTCCTCAGCAGTGCAGTGAGGTTTGAAACCGGCAGGATCCAGCTCTGAGCGCCGGGATCCTGAGGTCCTCTTTGGATCCCAGGAGTAGGGTAACCTGGGGAAGTGGAGCCCTTAACCTCTAAAGTCAGGCTCCATCCAAATGGCAGCCCCTCTGGTTACACCCAGTGTGGCACTGGCCAAGTCTCTGACCCTCGCTGAGCCTCCGCTTTATCATCTGTAACGTGAGGGTGTCTGGGGCATCAGATAAAACGAGAAATGTCGAAGGTGCTCAGCACCAGGCTTAGCACATCTCTCTATAAACATCCCCAACATTGTCATTTAAAAGAAAAATGAGGCAGCACCCTTCCCTCTGTCCATGGCAGAGGCATGAGCCCCATCTGGCCTGCTGGGCTCGCTGCAACCTTGTCCCTCCACCAGCTGCTTCCCTCCTCCACGCTCTGGTTCCCCATCCCCAACGTGGAGGAGCTGGGCCTCCTGGTGAGTCCTGAGGTCCTGTTGCTCTCTAGGAGCTGCTGGTGGCATAGGGGACGGAGACCTCTCCAGAGGAGAGATCTGGGGCTCAAGAGGTCCATAACCAAAGGCAATGACCTTGACGGCTGCACTCGACAGCTGCCTCTTGATGCCCCTGGGGGATTGGTGCCCGGACCCTCCCTAGGGACTAAAATGCATGGCTGTTCAAGCTCTTGGTGTACTTGTAAATGATGTAGTATTTGTGTATGACTTCTGCACATACTCCCACCTACTTTATATCATCTCTGAATTACTTAGACTAACGCCATGTGAATGCTATGTAAATAGTTGTATACGGTATTGTTTAGGAAAAGGAATAATGAAAAATCTGTACAAGAGCCGAGCATGATAGTATGTGCCTGTGAAGTCTTGGCTGCTGAGGAGGCTGGGGCAGGAGGATCACTTGAGCCCAATAATCTGAGGGCAGCCGGGCAGCACAGCAAGATTTTCTCTCGAAAACAAAGAACAAAACAAAATTTCTGTTCATATTCAGTACAGACACAATTCTTTCCAACTATTTTGGATCCAAATTCTTGGATCCAGAACCTGTAGGTACAAAGGGCTGGCTATGTGCTTCTACCTGTTCATTTAACTCCGACACCATCTCACTGAAGACTGTGTCAGCCCCACCGGTGAGGCTGCTGAGGGTCAAACTCAGAGCCTTGGCTGTGCTACACAAGTGCTACCACTGAGCCACACCCCCCAGCTCAACTTCAGTTTTCTTTCTTTATCTTTCTTTTTGAGACAGGGTCTTGCTATGTAGTCTAGGCTGGTCTTAAACTCACTTATGTAACTCAGGCTGGCCTCAAACTTGTGGCAATCCTCCTACCTCAGCTTCCTGAGTGCTGGGATTACAGGTATGCTCTGGCCCTTTTCTAATAATTGGTTTTAGTAATTCTGATATTTAAAAATTATCATTTCAAAATGTAATCAGTATTTCAAAGTTACTGTACCTCTCACATTACTTTTTCGTACTTAGGAAACTGGTATGTATTCTACACATGCATCACAGCTCGACTCGGACTTGCCCTCTTTCCTCATTTGTCTGATGCTGAAATGAAGCTGAGAAGTAGAACCTGAGGCCATGGCGCTTGGTGAATTACAGTGCCTATGATCTAAGATCCATGGCTTATGCTTTAAACGTGAGTGAGTGGAAGGAAAGTTGAGAACCCTATGGCATTACCTCATTTAATCTTAGTGGAAAACTGCAGGTTAGGCCCATTTTATAGGAGAAACTTGTGACTCAGAATCGTTTGCCTGAAGTCATAGAAGCAGCAGATCCTGATGGTGATGTGTCATTTATATGAGGAGCGTGTATCTGGTGTTGGCTAAAGGTGGAGTGAGTCGTGTATGTGATGGATGACGCAATTATGGGGAAGTGGCAGTGAGGGAGGACATGAGTCTGGAATGTGCCTCCTAGGCAGTCGTGCACGTGGAGCCTGTGGCAAGTCATATATGTCATCGTCCGTGGAGTTAGCGGTTTGCTGTGTGCACGTGCCCACGTGCCTGGTAGTTCTCCCGTATAACACACATGGCCTGGTGGACCCCACAGATCCGAGACAGTGATGGAGTCTAAGCTGCCATCCAGAGAAAAATGCATTGTTATTTTTATTACCTAATTAAACGCTGGCTTGCCAGGATCACAGTCTGCTTGCAGAAATGTGGAAGTGCACTGCTCGCACTTGATGAATTGCCAGACGCATAGGACAAGCCGTGCTGGGCTGTGAAGGGAGCAGCTGCGCATGGCTCATCACAGGTGCCAGGCAGGCGGTGGGGACCGGGGCTCAACCCTCAGAGGCCCCTGCTGGAACTGCTGGCCGCTTCTGTGTTCACTGCCCAGCTGGGTCTCCCCTTTCCATCCAGCCCTGCACTCCCTCCACAGGTGCCAGAGCCAGGACCCGATGTTCCCTGGGGCGGAGCATGGGAAGAACCCATCAGCAACTGAAGTCCGCGTCAGGATCTTATTTCAATAATGCATCTCAAGGTGTTGATTGGGAGGCCCCCCTTCTTCCCTGCCTTAGAGCCTTGTCCTAATCAAGAAACAGCTGGGCCATGATCATCTCCCCATTCTACAGATGGAGAAATCAAGGCCCTGAGAAGCTATGTGATCTAAACAAAGCCACCCACATAGTGAGAGAGCTGGTTTCTAAACCCAGGTTTTCTGGCCCTAAGTCCAGCTTCTTTTCTTTTCTAGGACCATTGCTCCCCTGCCCCCAGGATCTGGGCTCTAGGAGGAGGGAAGAGGACAGTGCGGCTGAGTAGGCCAGGAAAGGGCTTCCAGTGGTTGGAAGAAGATGGCAAGGATGCCTCCTTCCACCCCTCAAATCCATGGGCCCCTCTCCTGGTTTGCTCACTAATTCACCCACCCATTCGCTCATTGACTTATTAATTCACCCACTCACTAGTTTACCTGCTGGCTAATATCATTCATTCACTCAGCTTGCACATTCATTCTCCCCGTCTCCAATTCCCTCACCATCTAATTCACCCACCACTTGCTCGATGAGCGGACTCTGTCCCACTGTCACCCTGGTTGTTACCATAACCTCTGACCTGTCCTTCCAGCTAGCAGAACTCGACAGGCGTCCAGGCCCCCAGCGTCCCCACCTTCACCCTCTGTCACCTACATGGCGACTCTGCCTCCTTAGCCAGATCAGAAGCCTTGAACAGCATCTGCAGAGCAGATACAGAGGGCCAGAGGGCACGAGCCAAAGGCCAAAGATGAGTGGGAGAGCTGCATAGTTCCCAGGGCCTCATTCCAAAAGACAGCGCAAGGCCCCTTGTCCCAAACACCACGAGGATGTCAAGAGCGGCAGCAGATCACTGAGCCAAGCTGGGAGACATTCTGAGGGCCGGGCTCCTTGAGACTGCACAGACGCGCATCCACGCATCCCACCCCAAGGGGAGGAGAGAGGAGGAGAGAGACAGGCAGAAGAGGGGGTACAAAGTGGGGAGAGGGAGTAGGAAAAGGAGACAGTTGGTGACACATTGTCCAGGCACGACGAGCTATTTTTTCTTCTCCCATCTCATCAGATGCTTGAACCACCCTTAGAAGTCGATCGCACATTTTACAGAGAAGTAAACTGAGGCTCAGGGAGAGGAATCATTTACCCAGAGTCACAATTAGCAGGTGGTAGGCGCCGGAATGTAAACCCAGGCCTGTGGGGCTTCAACCTTGTCTCCAGCTGTTTGGGAAGGGGGCAGGGGCCCAGGGCAGAAGGAAGAAGGGACAGGAAGGAGTCAGTGAGGAGGTTGGCCCTGCCAGAGCAGCTGCGAGCTGGAGAGGCTGCCGGTGGGTCACTGGGAGCCAGGATGGGGCCTGGAGGTGAGTCGGGGCTTCCCAAAGTGCCAGTCCATTCTGCTGCCAGGGCAGGTGGGAAACTAGAACAGAGGTCCCAGTTCGAGGAGCCACTGGACCAGTATCTGGGCTTGAGATTAGGTTTCCCATTCACAGGCCACAAGACAGCTTTATCATTGCAGCAGCACTGAAGGTAGAAGTCAATGATTTAGGAAGTGACTTTGGGGTGGACCGTCAGCGCCTGAGCATATCAGTTAGGTGTCCGGTGTGGGGGACAGGGGCTTGGAGTAGCTGAGCCAAGGATCAAATGAATGCTGGCGATTCAGTGCCTGCCTTGCAAAATTGATAACTGAATATTGGTGAGTTGGGGCCCCAACAGTTGTAATTAGCACCCCAGGTGTCAGTCAGAGCCCGACAAATAGCCAAATCCCTTCAGCCGCGCCCAGCCTACCCAGCAGCAGGATGATTAACCATTAACCCCCACCCTCCCTGCACAGCCTCCACCCCTGCGCAGAGGCTAGGCCCAGACTCCAGGCTGAGCCTCCCAGAAGACAGTTTGAAAGGAAGGGAGGCAGAGCAGGGACCGGGGAGGAGGCAGGGGGAGGGTGGAGGGCGGGGGCTGGGGCTCGGCCCAGAGGCTCAGGGTGGGCACTGTGGGCAGGGAGGGGGCCGAGGTGTGGAGGCAGGGGAGAATGCGCCTCTCCAAAACCCTGGTCGACATGGACATGGCCGACTACAGTGCTGCGCTGGACCCGGCCTACACCACCCTGGAATTCGAGAATGTTCAGGTGTTGGCGATGGGCAATGGTAGGTGGGGGCAGGTGTGCCAGAGGGAACAGGTGTGCCCAGGTGTGGGAGCAGATCTTTGGCCCTTGACTTTGGGGTGGGAGGAGAATGATAGAAAATGGTATGTTGGTCCTGTAGGTGAGCACAGGTGTTGCCAGGTGAAGCAAATGTGGCCGGGGACAGCCACCAGGGGCATTCTGGGTGAGGGGGAGCCTGCAGGGGCAAGTTTGCCCCAAAAGTAGATCCCAGGTATCCCCCCCCACCCCGGGCCTTCCACAGTCCCTGTGACCTCACAGCTGTCCTGTGAGGCTGTGCCACTGGTAACAGAGACATGATGGTGAGCTCCCTCTGGACATCGAGCTCTAGTGATCCAGCCCAACAGTGCCCCGTCTTGGGCCTAGGTCAGAGAGCTGGAGAGGTATGTCCTGTCCCTGGTGACGATGGTGCTACAGGCATAAGTGCATCTCAGAGTGTCTTTGGGACTTTCCTGGGGAATTGGAGGTTGGGGAAAATGGAGCTCTCAGGGGAAATTTGCTAAAGGAGGAGCTGTGTGTGCTGTGTGTGTGGACATGGGTGTGATCCTGAGTTTCCAGGTATGTGTGTGAGTGGGGTGCTATATGGCTATACATGGGCAAACATGGACCTGGGGAACTATATTTCCATATTTGTGTTTATTGAGGTATTTGTGTTCTGTGTTCATTTCCATTTGTACCTCTTCATTGCGTGGGCCTGTGCTTGTGTCTCTAGGAGTGCCTGTGTCTGTCCAGCTTGTGTGTTTAAGTGATGTGAGTGTGTCTACGTGTCTCTGGATATTTGTGCGTGCGTGCTATACATGTCAGTCACTGACCAGAAATGCTATGGACGTGGACACCTTTGTGTGCCCTGTGCTTTCTGCATGTATGTCCCGTGTGGCATCATGCGTGTGCCCATTTTCAGACCTGTGTGCACATCCTCTGTGCACTCTTAGTGAAAAGCTTTGAGTTGTCATTTGCCAATTGAGATTCACATCAGGAACATGTCTGTCTCTGAGCAGATTTTGTTACCCTTGTGTATCTCTCCCATTTGTACACTCACTCCGACATCACTGAGACATTTCTGTAGCAGACGGATTGTTCTCCTTTGCAAGGGAGTGGAGGGAAAGAGGAGCCCTGGGAGCCAGGAACCTCCTGGAAAAGGGCCTAATGGGTTCAGAGAAGAGGTGGCAGAGAGAGGTGCCACCTGCCTTCTTGCCATGGCTCTGAGCCACACAGCCAGTGTCAGGCTGTGGCTCAGCCGAGGTCTGGAAAGCTCGTGGTCAGTAGGGCAGGAAAGAGGAAGTGCAGCTGGACACTGCCTCTGGTCAGTCTCACCAGGTGCTCGCCTGTCCCTGCCATCCGGGTACCGTGTGACCTTGGGCTCATCACCTCCTCTCTTGGGCTCTGTATCTTCTTTAAAAATGGGCTCCTTCTCCCCAGCCAGCTTTTAGAGGATCTGGGGACCATGTGAGGGGCTCGAGGGGAAAACACTCTGGAGATGGCGGATAAGTTGCTGCCCCGCCCTGCAGCATGTCCTGTGACCCCTCAGGGACAGTATGTAATGTCACACTCCTGGCCACTGCACAGCCACTCGAGAGCCCAGGAATCATGGCTTCCTGGGGCAGATGCCAGGCCCCTTGGCTAGATGTCCCAAAGACACGACACCCCCAACTCTGAAGCCAGAAAGATCCTTCCTGCCTGTGTGAATCTGGCAAGCCGTTTTCCTTCCTGAGCCTCAGTTTCCTTATCTATAAAGTGGGGATAAGTAGTAGCGCCTACCTCCTAGGGCTAACCAGAGAACAAATAAGATAAGGTTCCTGAGTGCTTAGTCCTGGTCACTGGTCTGGCCCCACGTGGGCGGCCTCAAGGACTCTAAGCAGGGTCTGCATCCCCCACTGGAATTTGCAGTGATTGGGGTGCTGGGGTTATATGAGGTTGTCCTCAAAGTGTTTTGGGTACATCTTGAGCTGGTGGCTCAAAAGACACCTCCCCACCCAAGGATATCTCCTTACCCATTTCCCACCCCACTTTGGAAGCAACAGCAGGGACACCTAGCTTCTTCAGCCGCTGACGGACACCCCTGGCTGAGCTGCGTGGTGGGCGCAGTCCCACACACCCACACCTAAACCAGCCCCTCTATTTAGCCGCAGAGTGATGATGCAGGACAGGTCACTGTCCTCTCTGAGCCTCACTGTCTTCACCTGGAGAATGGGGGTGGTCGACAGACCTCAGCGGGGAGATGATCTGCCCCACAATACCCAGCCTGGACTGCCCAGAAGGGGGTCTCCTCCCCAGCCTCTTGCTGAGTGGCAGGAAGGTGTGGGGTCAGCTCTTCCTGGGGGTTGGGGGAGGAGAGGCTGGGGAGAAAGGGCACCAACGCAGCTTAACAATTATCCCTGTCTCCAGGAATAATTCACCAGGTGGACGGGGGCCCCACTCCTGGGCACACTCGGGAGGCCAGAAGATGTTCAGCTGGGCAACAGCAGAGATGGGATGTGGGCTGCAAGTCACCTGCTTCGAGAGTTCTCTTCTGCAGAGAAGTGTTCATTTCACAGATGCGGATCTAGAGCTTACAGTGTGCCAAGCACTTCACATGCATTGATTCGCTGAGTCCTCAGAACAGCCCTAAGGGATTATGATGCACCCTGTTTTATAATCCAGGAAGCAAAGGCATGGAGAAATAAACTAACATGGCCAATGTCACATGACCAAGTGGGCCAGCTAGGATTTGATCTTGAGCTGAAAATCTTCATAGTCTGTGTGCTTAATAACAGTGCTACAGCCCTCTTCTGCTCTTAACTGGACACCCGCTTAGGAATCTAAGGTCAGATTCGAGTTTCTATGGAAACACAAATGTGTGGACTCTGGTGTCCACATGCATGTGTTTTTCAGCAGAGGTGGCACTGGTCGTGGAGTTTATCAGTACAGCATCTATCCTCGGTGGACAGTTTGCTTATAGAAAAGGGGACTGGACTGCTGGTATTTTTTAAAAATCTTCAGACTGATCAATTGACTCAGACAAATGGGAAGGAAAGGAAAGGAACTTGCCCAAGTTGCAAGTGGCTTAGTGACAGCATCAGCACAAGGGTCCAAGACGCCTGGCACCCAAGCCAAGCTCCCCTTTGCAGGTGGCCTCCAATCTCCCCTCCTCACATTTACATAGGTGATCATCTCACCTCTGGGCTGGGTGGCGTTGGAGAGGTGCCCAGGCCTTTGCCATGCCACCCCCACAGGAGGAAGGAGTGAATGTTCTCCATGCACATCTTTCCTGCTCCCTGTCAGCAGGGCACAGGCGCCAAGCTGAGGTTCACCTAGCTCTGGTCACTCAGTGAGGAAGAGGAACAGTACCTGGTTCTGGGGGGAACTGGGGAGTATTTATCCTCCCACCACCTCCTCTGCCCAACTGGGAGTCTAGAAGGGCTGAATGCACCTGGAAGTGTCCAGGTGTTAGTTCCTCTGAGAAAGCCGAGGCTTAAAATCCTCCTGAGGGAGAAGCAGGCCCTTTATAGATGCGAAACCGAGGTTCCAAAAGGCCAAGTGACTTTCCCAATGTCACAGAGCAGAAGTAGCTTCCAGGTCTGGTGTTGATCCCCACAGGGCTCATACTGTTCTCTGACTTTCTGCCCTTCCTGGGTCCTAACTCCCTTCTCTTCCTGCACAGATACATCCCCATCAGAAGGTGCCAACCTCAACGCACCCAATAGCCTGGGTGTCAGTGCCCTGTGTGCCATCTGTGGGGACCGGGCCACAGGCAAGCACTATGGTGCCTCGAGCTGTGACGGCTGCAAAGGCTTCTTCCGGAGGAGTGTGAGGAAAAACCACATGTACTCCTGCAGGTGAGGAGCCCTGCTCGGGGCTTGATTTCTCCAGCCAGGAAATGGGTGCACTTGGGCTATCTTCTCCCTGGGTGGGTCCTGGAGGCATCTGCCCTCTCAGGCCTTCCAGGCTCTTCTGGTTTCTTAGGCCTTATGAATCCAGGTGAGAACAGCTACTCCAGCAGCCCTATTTTCTGACCCTAAAGAGCATGGAACTCATTCTCCAACCTAGCACTTTTTCTGGGACAAATAGAGGACCGGCCCCCAGCCTTTCCTCCTACCCCAAAGGCTTCCCAAGGCTTTGGAGATCCCTCTTTCAAAAGTATCTACCATTTTGGATAAGAACAATAATAAAATCAAAGCAGCGGTCAATTGTGAGCACTTTCAGTGTGCAGATCCTGTGCCAAGCCCCATCCATGTATTATCTCATTGTCACCCGACAGTACCCCTTTGGGGTGGTTACTACAGTCATTCCCATTTTATAGATGAGGAAGCTCTTACTTGGAGGGCTAGGGTTTTTCCCAAGCGTCCTGAAAACCACTGTGCATCACTGCTTCTACTCACTCCCTTTCCCCTGCCCCAGAGTCTCTGTGGACCAAGTACTGATCTGAAGCCAGGACCAGGGGCCTGTTATGATCTCTGTTCTCTCACAGGATACAGTAGAAATGGCCCTGGCACTTAAGAGACCCAAGTTCCCAACTCAGCTCTGCTGCCAATCAGCTGAGAGGCCCAGGGCCATGTGTTGCTTTCCCTGTGTTTGGCAGGGTAGACTGGACTCTCAGAGAGTCCCCAGGACCTGCAGCTCCTGAACAGTTTGTATGGGAATTCCTGGGGTGCAGAGATGGAGCAAGGAGGCGAGGGACTGCCCTCCTTTGTCCTAAGAGGGGAGGCTGTGTCTTCTCCATCTAACTATCTAAAGCCCTCCCCAGATTCAGCAGGCAGTGTGTGGTAGACAAAGACAAGAGGAACCAGTGCCGCTACTGCAGGCTCAAGAAGTGCTTCCGGGCTGGCATGAAGAAGGAAGGTGAGCTCGCCCCACCCCTACAACCCTGCTGCCCCACCTGCGCCAACTCAGAGATCTACGGTCATTTACAACTGTAGCCATACTTTATGGCTGGGTGACAGGCCCCAGGGCGACCGGCTAATGGCTGAGAGGAGGGAGGCCCTGGGGATCTGACCACAGGGAGCGGCTGGGCTTGGTCTTGAGAAAGATGCAGAGATAAGCTCCCACTCAGCTACTCAGGCTCCCAGCAACTGCCACCAGGCCTACCTGTGCCACCCAAGGCAGCCGAGGTGGCTCCTTTCCCTTATTTCTAACATCTGGAAAGCAGAGAGCACAACATCCCAGCACACCCAGACTTCACAGAGGCCAACACCAGAGGCTCTGTTTCTGAGTTTCTTCTCCAGGCACAAGTGCCTCAGCCACTTAGTTCTCCTTCTGGGGTATCAGGTGACCCCCAGAGCTTTCCAGCGTAGACAGTGGGAACAAGGCCAGAGACTTACCTTGGATGGAGGGGACCGGGATGACAGAGCACAGTGTCCGTTAAGGTTTTGCCAGGCCTCCTGCTACCAGCAGGTACCAGTCTCTGGGCTGGACTCTTCCCACCTTTGGGTCTCATGACCACTCGATGTGGTTGGAACTATTACTGGACCCCCTTTCCGTGGGTGTGGAAACTGAGGCCCACAGTGGTTAAGCACTTGCTGAAGGCCCCAAGTTCTGTTAGGGGAAGAGCTAAGGTTCAAACCCAGGCTTTGTGCTGTTTGGACAACACTTCAACACTGCAGATCCTGGGCCCTCCTGGGCCCAAGAAAGTTTAAAAATTGTTTTCAGCCTGAGCTCAGAAAGAAAACATCCTTTAACCACTTTTCAAACTAACTGGAGTTCCTTTGTAAATCTCTTTGTTTCCTTCTTCTCAACTCTCCTTTTCCAGCTCGGGACAGCCCCCAGACCTTTACTTCCAGCCCATGGTTATGCCTTACTTACTAGCCAAGCCCTCAGTCTAGTCCTGCACACAGACACAGACACAGACACAGACACACACACACACACACACACGCACGCACAGACTCCTCAGCCCAGAAGCAGGAGCTCAGCCCACCCCAGGCCACCTGAGGAGAAAAACGTGACTGGCAGCCTCCCTGTCACCTGTCCCTGCCCCTGAGCCCCTCTGTTCTCTGCTCCCTCCCTCAGAACATTTGCTCACATCCCTACAGGCCTTAGGCTAAGCTGGAGAGTTTTGTTGGAAAATCAGGGCCTGAAGATCTTGCTCTAAAGATACCTCAGTGGTTCTGCAGTGAAGGATGGGATTTTGCAGTCCTCACCCCACCACACACTTATCCAAGTTTTCCATGGGGATGAGACTCCTTCACCCACCCTCACCTCCAAGCTGAGGACCATTTTGTAGCATGAGAAGTGTTGTGAGTGGGAATGTGGTGCATTTATGAATACTGGAGACAAGACTGAGAACCATAATCTAAGGTTCTAATGTTTGTGATTCTATTATCCCAATAACCTAAGATTTTAGATGCTGTGATTGTCCAGGGGGTGGGATGGGGGTGGGGGTGGCAGTTCAAAGGGCATTGCTTGAGAGAATAAATCTCTTAGGGAGAAATATCAGCATGTGGAAGGGAGTTAGCAGCCCATCTAAGCAGGTGGCTGTGGCCTGGTCCTGCATGCTGTCAGTCTTTGTTAAATGTCCAGAGGGAAGTCTCCACCCCTTCTGGGCTCCAGTTTTCCCATCTACAAAATGAGGCAGGTATATAGTAATTCACATAGCCCGCGACCCCAGATCCCAGCTTCTGGGGTGGAGAGTGAGCCTAAGGCCATTCAGCCCTAGCTTGCCCTTGAAAACAGCTTCTTGCCTCTTGAGCGCGGAAAATGGGCATTCTGCCAGGAGAATAGCAGATTTGCTGGTGGCAAGTAGAGTGGGCTAGTAAAAAGTGGGTCTTATTTGCATGCCTGGGTTAACAGAAGACCGTAATACATGGTACCTTTGAAACTGGGTCACAGTAGCAAAGTGTTCCATGACCCCTGTGGCCAAGTCCTAGAAAGGTAGGGTTTTGCTAACTCTAACTAAGTCTGCCAGTCCCCAGCACCCGTCCTCATCCTGACAGGAAGTTCCCAAAGCCAAGTAAGAGTCAATGGAAGCCTCATGACCAGGAGAGTTGAGATATATGTTCATTTCTTTTCTTTAATGGTTAATCCCAGAGGATTTGAGGCTGAAGCCCAAAAGTAGTTATTGAAGATCAGAAAGTGTGAGCCAGAAATGTAGGGTTTCTAGACCAGCTGGATCTACAAGTCATCAAGTCTAACCCCCTCCCCACTTCACAGGTAGGAGTGGAGGAGTCAGGTCTAGAACTCAGGCTCCTCAGAGCTGAGCAGGCATCGAGCTGGCTGGAGTGAAACTTGGAGTGGTCCCTTTGGGAAGCATGTTCTGGTTTCGATTCTGAAACGTCCTCTCCACTTCTGGGAGGGCTTCACATTCCACTGGCTGGTCTGTCCTGGTCAGAGGATATCCCACCATGGCTGGAAGGGGCTGGAGGGGCAGACTCCTGAGGAAGAAACCCGAGAGCCTGAGAATCTACAGCAGGTGGGGAATGCTGTCTGGTAACTGAGGCTGGGGAGATGGACACCTGCCTGGTCTCACTGTCAAGCCCATGACAGATATCCAGATTGTGGCATCAGAAGCCCAGGGGATTCAGGAGAGTCGGGTTGGTGACAGGCCAGGACCATCTAATGAGCCCTTCCTTGGAAGTCCAGCTCAGCACCCCAGGCCCCACTGGGGTCCTCTAGAAATACAGGCTCATGTCCTCTCCGCCTCTGGCCGGGTCGGTTAATATTCAATGGGAAGTTACATTAGGTCCCCGACCCTGCTAATACTGAGCAAACATTTGGAAAACATCATTCCGTGACTGAGCTCGCACTGGGCACTGATAAGGCCAGCTAACCTTGAGGAGCCCTATCCGCAGCTGCTGACTGTGGCCCTTTCATTCCCCGCCTCCCCTGCGCCCTGCTGGGTGTGGCTGCTGCCAGGGAGGGGTGTGGTAGGCTGGGCAGGGGAGCGGCAAGGGGAGAGCTTCCTTACCTGGCATCTCTACTGTACCCCACTTACTTCTCTGCTTGGATTTAAACAGTGTGTAAAATGAACAGGAAGTTGAACAGCTAGATGTCAGCATTCCATGGAGAAATGGGGTGCTGGTGAGGATGAGCACTGTCTTGTCCAATGCCTTCTCACTCATTCATCCACTGAGCACTTCCCGTGCACTGGGCTGGGCTAGGTTCCAGGGGTGACGGAAGTAAACCAAAGAGGTGAGGTTCTGGGTTTCTGGAACTTCCTTTCTCAGGGATAAAAACAATAAAGAGATTAACAAATAACTCTACAACAGGTACCTAGAAGAAAAGTAAAGCAGAATGAGGGGCAGAGTCTGAAAGACGGGCTGCTGAAGCAGAGGAGGGCTGGAGAAGGTGTCTGATAAGGTGCCGCTCTGTGGTGATGTGAAGGGAGAGGCCTTAAGCCCTGTGGAAAGGGGATTCCAGGCGGCTAGAACAGCAGCAGCCAAGGCCCCCAGGCTGAGTGCGGCTGATCAGGAGAGAGCCCATTTAGGCGGGGATGGAGTGAATGAGTCAAGTTGGTTCAAAGAGGGCTGAGAGGCAGAGAGGTGTGCTCCGAGGTGGGTTTGGAGGGCCCCTCTCCACTGAGAGGAGTCGGCCCTGAGGACCAAGGCCAGGAGCCTGAAGCCCCTGTGGAGGATCCCCTCATCGTGGGGTCCTCCCTCCTGCCCCTTTCCACCACGGGGCGCCCACCAGGCCTGACCAGGGCAGCTGCTGGGCGCATCTTCTAAGGGTCAGCGATGGCAGGCAGGGTGTAAGCAAATGCGGAGTGGGGAGGGGACGCACCAAGGCCCAGGCTTGGCTGGCAGCTTCCAGGATGAGCAGGAGTAGAGGGAGGAGGCTGAAGGGGAAGCCTCGGGTGGGGAAGCTGAGGCCCCAAGAAGACGCCCTTCCGGCCGGCACAGAGTGAGGGGCGAAGCCCAGGCAGAAGCTGAGGTTTCTGCAGCCTTGTCCTCGCTCCTTCCTCTCAGCAAATCCCAGCTCCCCAGCGAGGCCTTGTGAACACCAAGGGGTGGGCCGTTTGGTAAAAGGCCACCTGATAGCTTAGGCCCGGACTCAGACGGGGGCAGAGGGTGAGCTTCAGGTCTGCGGGAACAGAAGCCCTGACCCTTGAGTTCTAAAAGAGTGGTCAGCAGGGGGCAGAAAGAGGCAGCCTTACTTCGCAGGCTGTGGGAAGTTGAGTCAGGAGCACAGCGGACAGGCTGCCAGGCAGGTGGGTTCTCCAGGTCGCCCTGTCCAGAGCTTCTGCCTGGTGCTTGGGAATCCCTGGGTCAGCTCTGTGTCATCTGCAACAATTGCTTTTGCTCTTTTCTGACACACTTGCACTTGCAAAGAAACGGTCTTCTAAACAGAGCCTGAAGATCTGTGATCAGTGCTCCAGACCCCGTCTTAGCCCTGTGCTTCTTCCATGCCCCTGGACACGGGCCACTCACGCCCGCAGGAGCTTCCCCACTGAGGAGAGTTCTGGAAAGCTCTCCTGCGAGCTCAGTTAGAGCTGCATCTCCCTGTCTGCTGCACGCGGAGCTGGGCTCCATGCTCTGGGGGCCCCCTTGCCCTCCCACCCCCACTGGCGTCCCCCTTACTCTGGGACACCCCTGGGTCGAGCTCTCTCCCCTGAACCCCCCACCCCCACCCCACACTTGCTTCCTCCCCCACCTCTCTCTGCCCCTCTTAGCTGTCCAGAATGAGCGGGACCGAATCAGCACACGGAGGTCCAGCTATGAGGACAGCAGCCTGCCCTCCATCAACGCGCTGCTGCAGGCAGAGGTCCTGTCCCAGCAGGTATGGGGCACCCTCCCGGCCACCTCCCACACCACAGAGGAGTCTCACTTCCTCTGTCTCCATCCTCCCCACCCAGGCCCTGGAGCTGCAGAGGGAGAGAGCCTCAGATAGCACAGTAGGGAAACTGAGTCCAGCGCCATATAGCCAGTTCAGGAGCCAAGACAGAACTCACCCTAGGTCTGGGGTTCTCAGCACTGTCTAGTTCATCTGGCAGCTCACACCCCACAGGCCAAGCAGCACTTTGCTCTCACTGAGGGCCTGAGATCAGCCCCAAGGAAATAGGATCACTGGATCCAGTTGGCAGTGGGGTCCAGCCAGTCCTTTGCCTGAGCAAGTCATAGCACCTCTCTGGGTGATAGTATCTTCATCCACGAGATGAAGGTGACGATTTTTGCCTTGCCGGGGCCAAGGAATACTGGGGCTGTGCTGGGCTGGTGGAGGAGAAGGTGGGGGCAGCAGTAGCCCGTAAGGATCCCTCTCCCTCTTCTCAGGGTCCTCCCTTCTGCTCCTTTCCACCAAGCTTCCTTCAGAGCTAGAAGCACACACATGGAAACTTCCCAGGGAGCAGGGCTCATGCAAGGGACAGGGACTGGGAGGCTGCTGCCGCTCACAGCACTTTTCTTCATCCCGCACAGATTACCTCCCCTGTCTCTGGAATCAATGGTGACATTCGGGCTAAGAAGATTGCTAACATCGCAGACGTGTGTGAGTCCATGAAGGAGCAGCTGCTGGTATTGGTCGAGTGGGCCAAGTACATCCCAGCTTTCTGTGAGCTCCCCCTGGACGACCAGGTGAGGGCAGACATGCACAGTGGGCAATGTTGGACACTGGACCGCCAGGGTCCCGCTGGCCCTCCTGGCATGAATAAGGCATCGGATTGGTTTGACTTATTCAGCAAAACACACGTAGCACTCATGTGTGCCCAGAACTGTTTAAATTATAAATATTAACTCATTAAATCCTCCTGATGTCTATGAGGTAGGAAATACTCTTCTTCCCTTCTTAGAGGTGAGGAAGCAGGGACAGAGAGAGGTTAAGTAACTTGCTCAAGGCTGTATAACTGGTATCCAGACCAGATGGGATTAGAACTAGCCGGGGAAGCTCCAAAGTTCAAAGTTCTGGCTCCTCACCCTGGTGCCACATAGCTCTCCTCGGGGTATTGACAGGGACCCAGGCCCGGGAGCTGGACATTGGTCTTCAGCTCTGGCTCTAAGACCAGTTCCCTGGATCACCCTAGACAAATTGCTCCCTCTCTCTGAGCCTCTGTCTTCTTATCTGCTCAGTGGGAATTATTCACTGCAAAGTGCTGTTGGGAGGACTGAGGATGGTCCTGGTATTTTTTCTTTTCCTTTTCTTTTTTTTAAAGAGGCATAAAGGAATTTTTTAGGCAGAATTTTAAAAGCAGAATCAAAGAAACAGAGTGTGGGCCCTCAAGAGAGAGAAGATCACCGTGGTCTGAGACTGAGTATATTTAGAGGAGATTTGGGGGTGGAAAACTGTAGACTCTATGGAAAGGGGATTTAATTTACAGATGAAAGGTGATAACTCTTTCTGCAAGGGAAGGGTAATGAGTCTAAAAAGCGCAAGATCTTGGAACATATATAGTTGGACCACAGCTGGCCTCCTCAATGTTGGGTTCTCCCTTATATCTACCACGATGACTTAACTCAGCATTTTCTTTCCTAAAGTGCCTTCTCCGGAGTACTAAAAATGTTCCTGGGGAAAAGGGGTGGGGAGTGGTAGCATATCTGAGATCAGGGGAGCCCCTGAGATGCTGCATGTGACAGCTGTAGCCAGAGCAGCCCTTGGCCTCTGTGAACATGTCCCCACCTGGGGAAGGGCCACCTGCCCAGCTTTGGAGGAAGCACAGGAGACCGACAATGCATGCCCACCTCTGAAATCTTCCAGAAGACTTGCAGCCAGGCAGCTGCCTCTCTGTGAAAATCAGAGCTCCCCAAACTCCTTTGGCTGGAGCCTCCTAGGACACTGTGAGGCGGGCCAGTGGTCACCCTAGGAGAATACTGGCTTGGCTGCTACTAGGCTTCACCTGTGGCTGGACCAGAGGCCTCTTCCCTGGGTTTCTCCCTCCTTTAGGAGAGTTGACCAGGCAGGGATCTTATCCAAACTCCCTCTGCCTTCTCCCTGGCTCCTCATGCGCTGGCCCCGGTCCCTCTGCTGGAGAGTCTGCATTAATGTTTAATCCCCCCTGTTCCTTCCCAGGAGCTTACCAGGACAACAAGATACCCCCAAGCTGAGCAATTGTTAACCTCGATTTCCCACCCAAACCTCCCTGGCTGGGGCTCAGAGCATTCTCAGAGGGCAGTGATGGGTAGCCAGTAACACGGGACAATCATTAACGCCACCACCCCCTGCCTGCCCACCCCCCAGCATAGCTGCCACGACAAGGGTGGACCTGGGAACCCATTCATGGTATACAAGGAGCTCATCTTCCCCACCATGGGCAGGGCCATCCTCGGAGTTCTGAAGGCATTGTCCCCCAAAGGACACCACACTTAAATCGACATGGTTGCAGAAAGCAGCTTCCAAGCTTATGCACGTCTTGGTTTGTGGACAACAGTCCACTGAGACGTAGAAGGCTGAGTTCAACCGATAAGGGGATTGAGGCTGGGGTGAGAAAGTGACAATCAAAAGCACAGAGCAAGATGACCTCAAAGCAGGGCTTGAATCCAGGTCCTCTCCCTTGCACTTTGGGAGCCACTGGGTTGGCCAGAACTCTGCACAAGCACCTGAAGCTATGAGGTGCTTGCTCATTAGTGCCCTTCCTTCCCTTCGCACCACTTACGGAAATTGGGTTCCCATCTCCAAGTCTCCCCATTTTTTCTCCTTAAGTCTTCCTCATAATATTCCGGCTATGAGGTGATGGAAGGGGCGAAAACATGTGGCTGGCCAGGAGGGGCTAGATCTAGAAAGGAAGATAAGATGTTGGCTCACGCATGCATCCCTTTTCTCCCTCCCTCCCTCCCTCCCTTCCTTCCCTTCTTCCTCCCCCCCCAGCACTATCACCCTCTGTCCCATTTCCTGCTTTTCTATTTTATATACTATCACCCCTCCCTACATGAGTTCTGTAAGGTTAGAGATCTTGTCAATCTTTTTTACCTTTGTGTCACCATTGTCTAAAAGTGTCTGGCATCTAACGTTTGATAACCAAAAGAATGAAGAATCAAATGAATGAATGAACAGTAGAACTTTAACCTTCCTCGCTTGCAGCAAAACCTCCAAACTCCCAGCCCCACCTCGCAGACTCAATCCTCTAGACTAGCCCAAATTTGGTCCTCACCCAAGTGCTAAGGCAGATGGCTTCAAAGGCGTGGGCAGTGTCCTCCTGTGCCAGCTGGGCTCCAGCCTTGGGCTTCAGTCTTCATGGGCTTCAGTTGTCAAAGGCTCCTCATATAGCCAGGAGCAGAATCTCTGGTAGTTGGCCCTAAGAATCTGTTTCCATAAAGTACCTTTGAAGAGTCTCTGTAGCTGGTTCAGGGTTAGGAATCTGCAACCCACAGTTTTAGAACTCTTAGGGTAACAGACTATTTCTGCTCAAAAGAGTGCTGAGTATGCTGCCTACAGCTGCTCCAGGCACATAGATGAGGGCCAAGGATGCAGCAGTTCAAGGGCACTCAATGGAAGCCAGCCCACTTCAGAGTGCATGTTCTTTCTCTTTCTTGGTTTCTGTTCATTCCTTTCCAGGTCCTTAGTTGTGTCAGTCATGGGAGGAAAGCAGCAGTTTTATGATGTGCATTTTATAGTTCAGGCAAGTAGAGGCACTGGGGAGCATTAAGCAGCCTTCCTGGGGCTGTTGAGTTGGCCGGAAGCAGCCTTCCCAGGGCTGCAGATGCCAGACTCTATCCCTTCCCTCTTCCAGGTGGCCCTGCTCAGAGCCCACGCTGGCGAGCACCTACTGCTGGGAGCCACCAAGCGATCCATGGTGTTCAAGGACGTCCTGCTCCTGGGTGAGGAGACTGCCTATCCCAGATAGGTCTCCATGGAACTCATGCCCTGTGTGGTGTACCCTAGCAAAGACTGTCTCCATGGTGCCATGCAGGGTGAAGGGAATAGATTAAGGGTGGCCCTGTCCTTAGGCTTAATGACAGAAGATGCCAGGACTCAGTTCTAAACTGGGTCCTCACCCAGATGCCAGGAATTATGGATACAAGGAATGAAATTTCCTCAGCTTTCAAGTTAGAGCATAGTCAGAGTTATTCCTGGGCTTACCCACGCATTCTGCCATTCTTTCTGGAGTAGGACCAAGAGGCCATCAGGAATGGCGCATGTCACTTGTGCTGTAGAGCATACCCTATATACCAGGGCCTATGCTGTATTCTTTTAAAACAATGCTATCATGGTGGTACACAGTTATAATCCCAGCACTCTAGGAGGCTGAGGCAGGAGGACTGCAAGTTCCACCCCAGCCTGAGCAACTTAAATACTTAGTGAGACCCTGTCCAAAATAAAAAATAAAAAAGGGCTGGGGATGTAGCTCAGTCCAAAGATCCTGGATTCAATTCCAGTACTAAACAAATAGTGTCCAGCTCCAGAATCTGGTCCCTTAAAATTGGTGTTTTTGTTCCTCCCAAGTGGCCCTTGAATGTCCCCAGTCTTGAGTCACGATGACAAAGGAAGCCTGGGTGATATGAAAGGAGCCCTAAAACTAAGTTTCAAGTACACCCAATGACTTCAGGCACCTCTCTTAGTCTGGCCTCTGGTTTGCCATCTGTGAAATGGATGTGATGATCCTGCAGGTCCTCCTCTCAGGGCACCACCTGCACTGCCACATGGAAACCCCTACCTAAGGTGACTGCCCATTCTTTCTCCTTCCCAATCCACCCAGGGAATGACTACATTGTGCCCCGGCACTGCCCAGAACTGGCGGAGATGAGCCGAGTGTCCATTCGCATCCTCGATGAGCTGGTGCTGCCCTTTCAGGAGCTGCAGATCGATGACAATGAGTATGCCTGTCTCAAAGCCATCATCTTCTTTGACCCAGGTACTGTTCTCACCTAACCTGGTGATGGCAAACCTTTCAGAGCTTTCAGCGATACAAGCAGCCCATTGTGCCATGCGCGCCATAGGTCCGCCATCACTGTGCTAATCCATCCCTGATGCGCCAGACCCTCTGGCAGACTTCTGCTGGATTCACAACCTCTCTTATGTCATGACACCAGTAGAGGGTCATTTCATCAGCCCCATCGAATAGATGAGGCAAATCAAGCTTCAAAGAGGTTACAGGACTTGTCAAGGCCCTGACTCCCAAGGGCTGGACTTTTCTTTCCCTCTTTTCCCTTCCTCCTCTTTTCTCCTTACCTCCTACCTTCTTTTTCTTTCATCCTTGCTTCTTTTTCTCCAAAAGCTTTATCAAGATAATGTCTACACAAACTGGCATTACAAATAGCTCTCCTCAATACATCCCACTTTTCCAACCTGAAGCTCTGCCCCAGGATAAGCATTTCTGATTCTTTCAACGGTTCCTTTTCCAGTTACCTTCACAGTTTGAAAAGCTGCTAAGGGTTATATTTCTCCTTCTGTTTTGTTTTGTTTTTGTGGTGCTAGGGATGGAACCAATGCCCTTGCACATACTCACAAGCCTGCTAGCTCTGAGTTGCAATCCCAGCCCCCATAGTTCTTGATTTGTACATTTTAGACCATGTATTTCCCCCTATTCTGGCTAAGGGTTTCGCTCATTCATCACTGTTCCCATCTTTTTCCCCATATTCCCTATGGAATTTTATTGCTGTTTTTGTGCTTAACTGATCGCCTCTGCAGCTCTCGGTTACGTGCTTTCATGCCTTCATTTCTGGTCCTATCAACTGCGGACAGGGTCTCCTAACCCTGAAGGTAGCAGAAGACAACTCCACTCCTGCTTTTGCTTTTGGCTCCTTTCTCTCCCCATTCCATGTACTGACTTTTGCGTCTGTTTTTTTACACAATGTCTTTGGAGTCACTTCTTTGTGCAAAGCCTGCTTTCCCTCCCCGGTGTCAAGGTGCTTCAGGCTCAGAGGCTCATCTGCCTCCCTCCTCCTGCACACGTTAGAGAGGACCTACTGTGTGCTGGGTACTGCCTGAATACAGACCACTTCTGTAGTGACGGCAATGAAAAAGAAAATGACCACCGTTTGTTGAATGCTCACAGAAGCATGGCTTAAATACTTGGCGAAGAGTATCTTACTGAGGTAGGAATTATTATTGTCCTCATTTTGCAAATAAGGAAATTGAGGCACAGGGTACCTGATCCACCTAACCAAGGTCACACAACCAGGAAATGACAGAACTTTGATTTGAACTTCAGACTCTCATCAATCTCTACCTAGCTATCTCTCAAGCCCATGTTCATATGTTCCCATTTCCTGGAGGGGGAGATTTCTAGTTCTGGTTTTGCCTAGAGGCTGGCCTAGGCTGTATGTTCTTCAGTGCTTGGCATGAGGCTGCAGAGGTAGAAACTGCTTGGTAGCATGTGTGGAATTAGTGTGGGATTATGGGGCTGAGTCAGAGTCTATAGCCTGCTTGGGAAGATGGGGGACTTGATCCAGGCCTGGTATGTGGGAGGTACTCAATGAAAGTTTGTTGACTGAATCAGAGTCCATAAACATAGCCCGGGGAGAAAGCCCATTGGAAACAGGGCAAACTCTTTCTGCCACTTCCTTTGTTAATAATTATTTTCATGAAAGTTGAGATTAAGGTGTTAGAAAGTGAAGTAGTAGGTTAAGGATGTAGAATTTATTCACTAATATTTTTTGCATTCTTCCTTTCCTCCCTCTCTCCATCCCTTCATCCAGTTACCTATTCAATGAATAGTGACTATGTATGGAGCGGGTGGTGTGACACTCAGTTTAAAATGGCAAATAAAGACATGTACCTGCTCACACAGTGCTCGCCGTCTAATGAAAGAGATGAGTCCATCCTGTATAGTCAATAGTGATGCAGGAGCCACAGAAATTTAGGAACATGATGGACATATAATGTGGACCTAGGAGGGTAGGGTGGAGAAGACTTCCTGGAGGAGGTGAGACCTCAGCTGAGTCACAGATGACAGGCGCGGCAGGGAGGGAAGGGGAGACGACTCAACGGGGCAGAGGCAGCCTGTGCTGGGATCTGGGTCATGGGACCTCAACTGTGGGTCAGGAAACCACAGTCAACCTCTTGGCTCTGCCGCCAACCGTCTATGTGAGCTAGGACAAGTCCTTTTCTTGTCCCATCCCTCAGTTTCCCTATGTGTAAAATGAATACGTCCTATATTCCTGAGGCCTCACCTTCTGTCCCTTATTCCCCACTCCTGCACTTGCTATCTTAGGAAACATAACCAAAACATTTTTTTACCCAGATCTAGGGAGCCACAGTCTGTGCTAGTGTGCTCTGGTTGTTGAGCACCTTGAATCTTTGTTCTAGTACTGCTGTCAGCTCCCTGTGCAGCATTGGGTCGTTAAGCCCCCCAACCTGGGCCCCACAAGTTGGGGGACATCTGGACCCTGCTTATCTTCCTGCCATCCCCTCCCACTGCAGATGCCAAGGGGCTGAGTGACCCAAGCAAGATCAAGCGTCTGCGCTCGCAGGTCCAGGTGAGCTTGGAGGACTACATCAATGACCGCCAGTATGATTCACGCGGCCGCTTTGGCGAGCTGCTGCTGCTGCTGCCCACGCTACAGAGCATCACCTGGCAGATGATCGAGCAGATACAATTCATCAAACTCTTCGGCATGGCCAAGATCGACAACTTGCTGCAGGAGATGCTGCTGGGAGGTCTGTACAGCCCTGGAGGGGCGCTGGGGTACCTGTCTGGGAGATAATCCTTGTGTAAAGCTTGCCTTCATGACCTCATCAGTGTACGGCTCTGGGCAAGTTGCTTAATCTGGCTGGCTCTCGGTTTCCTCATCAGAAGAATGCAGACAAAGACAGAGGTCCATGGGTTCAGGTTCTGAGAGCCTAGCACATGCTAGTCCCTGTTTTAAGTGCTGGAGGCTCAACAAAGAACAAGATCTCTGCCTTCCTTGAGGCTGTGTGTGTGTGTGCATGTGTGTGCATATGCGTGCACACAAGCACATGCATATGCATGTACAAGCATGTATGCATAAAGGTTCATATGAAAAAGACAATAACCAAGTACGCAATAAGAAGGTAACTCCAAATTTTTAAATAAACTGGTAGTGTGCTAGAATTTAACACCAAAAAAGGCCTCTTAAGATGAGTTAGCTAAAGGAGACCTCACTAAAGGGGTGGCTTTTATGCTAAGACCTGATGGACGAAAGGAAATAGAAGATTTAAAAGCCAAGAGGAGAACACTCCAGGAAGAAGAAATCAGTTCCAGGCCCTGAGACAGGAGAAGGATACGTGTTTGAGAAGGAAGGGCAAGGTTGTGAGATGGTGGAGTTGTATGAGATGAAGACATAAATCAGGGAAAAACAAAATCATAAACATATGGCTTCATAGGCCATGGTCAAAAATTTAGATTTTATTCTCATTGCACCTATTGTAAGGAAACTGACAATCAGACTAATGTTTTAAACAAAACACTCTGATTGTTGGGGAGAGAGTAAGTTTCAGGGGGACAAGGTAGAAGCCAGAGACCCCTGGGAATGCTATTATCTCCAGTCATGGGAAGGGCAGGGGAGGCTTGGATCATGGAAACAGAGCAGTGTACTTGATAGTCTACAGTCTTTGGAGGAAGAATCCACAGGAAGTACTGATGGATCAGAGGTAGGGAGTGACAGGAAGAGGAAAAGTCAAGGGTGAAGCCACGTTTTTGCTTTGAGTGGCAGAAATGACAGTAGAGTAACTTACTGGGCTATGCAACAGTGAGTGAAAGAGCTTGAGACTGGGTTTGGGGGTAGTGGCCAAGGTGTCCCCAAGAGATCCATTAAGTGGATGTAAGTGGAACCCGAGAGGACTATTAGGTATCCAAGCTGAGCCATCAAGGTGGCAGCTAAATGTCTAGGTCTAAGGCTCAAACACAAGGTCAAGGCAGCGCCGTGGCTTTCCAGCATTTTGGAGTCACAAGGAAGAGGGAAGCCATGGAAAGCTGTTGAGGAAGATTAGCCAGAGAGAGGGGAGAAAACCAGGAAAACTCCAGAACCCAAGAGAAGGGTGTTTCCAGGAAGACAGAACATTTAATGGCGTTAAATTCAACAGAGGTGGGGGAAGAGGGTGGGAAGTGTCCACTGGGTGGCAACATGGCAGCTCTAGGCACCTGTGTTGAGAGCAGGGCCAGAGGATTATGAAAATGCAAACCGCGTTGAGGTGCTACCAAGAGAGTGAGCAGGAAAGTGGACAAGTGCAGTCACTGTGGCAGACACTCCTCTGAAAGTGTCCTGTGAAGGGAGGCCTGAGGGAGTCAAGAATGGCCTCAAGCAAGGGATCATAATGGTGGGCCATGGAGTCCTGGCTGGACTAAATGAAAAACAAAGATGGGGTGATAGGTAGTGAGAAGTGCGGGTGAGCAAAGGCATCACCTCTGTAGGCCTGAAGGGTTTTTGCAGGGATGGTACTGGATGGGGTCAGCTGGAAGGATGGGAGGAGAAATCAAAGTGTGGATGCTTAGACCGGAGGCTTTGGAGGTGGTGTAGTTAGTGGTAACAAAGGACAACTTTTCTCAGCCTGAGCACTACTGATATTTGGGACTGGATGCTTCTTTGCTGTGAGACTCTCCTGTGTATTGTTTAGCTACATCTTTAGCTTCTACCCATGAGATGCCAGTAGCACTTCTCTAGTGGTGACAACCAAAAACATCCACAGATATTGTCAAATGTCTCCCAAAGGGTCAAAATTATCCCCAGTTGAGAACTGCTGTCAACCACTGGTGGCTTTATTTTTCTTCAATATGGGAGATTGAACCCAGGGCCTTTGGACTGAGCTACATCCTCAGCCTTCTTTATTTTAATTTTTATTTTGAGACAGAATCTTGCTAAGTCACTAAGTTGTCCAGGCTGGGCTCAAACTTGCCATCCTCCTGCCTCAGCCTCCCAGAGAGCTGAAATTACAAGCATGTGCCACCATGCTTAGCTAGTAGCTTATTTCATTTTCCTATTGACCCTGTGAATATGGGGTTATTATGAATCAGGTGTTATTGGGATTAGCATTAAGAGCTTGTGGTCTATTGTCAGATAAAATTAGGTAAGTTAGTGTCTCTGGATATATCATCTGTAGAATGGGATAATAATGTATCCACCTTCGGGATTATATTATGTAAAACACGAAAAGTGCTATAAACTAGTACCTGGAATATGTTAGATGCTCAATAATTGTTAGATATCCTTGAAAGAAATGTATTTTAGAAGACTACTAAGGCTTAAAATTCCACCAATATCATATTAATGACCACAACTTATATCTCTATGCTTTTATCACTCCCTGACTCCTGTTGAATCAGTTACTGTGTTCTAGACACTTTGCTAGGCCTTCAAAGAAAAGAAGAAAACTCCACCTGTAATTGTAATGATCATAGACAGAAGTGTCTGTTGCCGAAAGGTGCATTACAGATAAATTACTGTGGGAATTCCAGGGAAGGAAAAGAAGGAGAGTGGAAAGAATCAAAAGAAGCTTCCAAAAAGAGAAAATATCTGAGTAGGATTTGGACTTATGGATGTGGTGGAGAGCAGAGAACGCATCTCTGGTAGACAAAGCAGTATGAGCAAAAAACACAGAGATAGGAAAATACAAGGGACAAGTAGATGCTCCAAGTGGGTCAGCTTGGCTGAAGAAGAGATGTGAAGGATGAGACAGAGAGAGGACTTGGGATCAAAGAACTTACATGTCAAGGAGCTTTGAGAGCCATTGATTAAATCCATTGTCTCACTATGCAGCCAGTACACTATTTATTATAATTTAAATGGTCTCAGAGCTCCTTATATGCTCCTTGTTTCTTTCAAATCATGCTTGTTCTCTGGGTCTTTTGGGTCCTCTCAATAGCCCCACGAAACCTATGGACTTGAATGATAAGCTCTGGCTTACTAACCCGGGACCGGGAACCCCACAGGTTCTGGCAGGGCTGAGGCAGACTGGCCACACCTGAAGAAGATGGTGCCTCTAGGCCAATGGTCCGTATCCTTGACTCTCCTTCCTGATCAAGCTCTTCTCTATCTGCAGGGTCCTCCAGTGATGCACCTCATGCTCACCACCCGCTGCACCCTCACCTGATGCAGGAACACATGGGCACCAATGTCATTGTTGCCAACACAATGCCCACTCACCTCAGCAACGGACAGATGTGTGAGTGGCCCCGACCCAGGGGGCAGGCAGGTGGGCAACGTGGGCTCCCCTGCAAGGGGGTGAGGATGGGGCAAGGGAAGGAGGCAGGACAAGGTTGAGTCTAGAGGTGAACTGGGGTACAATTGTTCTCTGGGTAGGGAGTGAAGGGTGAGGTCCTCTGTTAAAGCTGTTTATTCAGTGAGGCTGTATCTTCAGTGGGGTGACTGACAACCTCTACTAAATGTAACTGTCCTTGGGATGAGCCAGTTCACTGGATGTACCAGGTTACTATTGGGTAACCCTGTTCATCAGGTGGGAATTCCAGTAGATGACATTATCTGTTAGGTCAAAGTGTCCATTGCAGTAAGGCTGTCAAACTGGGTAAGGCTATCTGTTAGACCATTGGAGGAGACTGTCATATGGGTAGAGATGCCCACTGGACTAGACCTCTGAGCTGAATCTCTCACTGGGCATAGCTCTTTAGAGAATAAAATTATCAATGAGATGAGGTGGTTCACTCAGATGAAATGACATTTCATTGAAGTTGTTCTTTGGGGAAATTGTCCATTGAATGGAGTCAGCCAATTGGGTCAAAGTTATTCCTCCAACCTGTGGAGGGAGTAGAACCAATTAATTCCTGTTACTCATTTCCTAAATATCAAAGAAGTGGTACTTTTTGTGCCAGTTAACCCCAGATTTCATCAACTGCTACTTTTCATTCCAAGAAAGAACATTCCTGTTACATGTCTCATTGGGGATGTCACAGGACAGTCCAACCTGGACCCTGGTTTGGGAGAAGCCACCCAAGTATCCATATGAAATGGTGGAGGAGATAGGTTGTTGGACCTTCCAGGCCTCACAGAACTTAAATTTTATGATTTGAAATTCGTAGAAGGGTTGAGCCATTAGAAATCTTAGAGTGTATCTAGTTTAATTCTCTCATTTTGTAAAAGAAGAAATTAAGTCTCAGAGAGAAGGAAGAACTTTCCCAGAGTTCTTCATTTATTCCTCTAAAGCCTGGAATTTCAAGCAGCTTCTGTTTCTTTGTCCTTTCAGCCACCCCTGAGACGCCACAACCCTCACCGCCAGGTGGCTCGGGGTCTGAGCCCTACAAGCTCCTGCCAGGAGCCATCGCCACAATCGTCAAGCCCCCCTCTGCCACACCCCAGCCGACCATTACCAAGCAAGAAGTCATCTAGCAAGCTGCAGGAGTCAGGGGCTCTGTGAGCTCACCCTACCCCTCAGAGAATGCCTGGTGACCACTTGGTCACAGCCAAGGAAGGCGTGACAAGAGGGCCAGTTCCAGAGCAGGAATGGAAAGGGGGAAGGGCCCAGGAACATGGGCTGAGAGCCACATCCCATTGCTATCCTTGACCCTGTGCTCTGGATGATAGGACTTTGACTTGGGGAGACATCAGCTGGAAAGCCCTCTGCTGCCTTGGACAACTTTCCTCATGTTGAAGCCACTACCTTCACCTTCATCCAAACCCTGAGCTTCATCACCCGCCAAGGACAGCTGACTGGAGATGCTATGGGACCTTGCTTAGACACAGCTCCCTTTCCCCCAAGCTGGGACTCTGCTCCCCCGGTACTGGTCATGGTGTCCAGTCACAGCCTCATGAGGCTGGGTCAGGCCATGGCACCTTGCTCCTCCCTCTTCTACTGCCCCCATCTCAAATACCCCTCTCCACCCTCTGCTGTAACCTCCCTCAGCCATCCTGTCTTCTCCAAAGCCCCCTCTCTGGGGGCTGAGGAAGACATAGAAGCCATTCCCCCAGGCATCCCTGGAACACTCTGTAAGCGCTGACTGGGGCTAGGTTGAGGCAGGAGACTGCTGAGCAGGAAGATGCCATTCCTCCTCCTCAGGCTCTGCTATTCTTCCTTTCTCCAGGCACAGGAGTGGGGACTTGGAATGATGGTCCCCATGGACTTTGAACAATGAGAGAACAATCCAGGGTTAACAACTGCAACAGGACTTGGGGGAGGGTGGAGCATGGGGCCTTGAATGCTAGACTGAGGCCAGGAGTAGGTGGTGAGGGATAGCCAGGATGTCAGAAGATGAATACAGCACCCTACAAAATGTGGAAGGTTGGGAGGGAGCAGGAAGTTCAGATGAGGCTCGTGATGTAATGAGGGTGAGACTGTTGCGATGGAAAGGAGGGGATGGGTGATCTTCAAGTCAGGGTTATTTCAAGGAGGAATTATTATTATTATTATTATTATTAGTGTGTGTGCGTGTGTGTGTGTGTGTTACCGGGGATCGAACTCAGGACCTTGTGCTTTTGAGGCAAGCGGCAATGCCACTGAGCTAAATCCCCTGCCTTCAAGGAGGAATTATTCCAGGCCAGTCACAAGCTCTCATTCCTCATTCCTAGGCACTGTTGGAAGCATATGACATCCAGTGTCTCCTGGAGCCCTCCCTATTACCCAGAGATTGTTACTGACAATGCAATGGAGTTCTAAGAGGTTAAGTGACTTTTAAAATGTGGAACTCATACACACAGTCAGTGACTGAGTCAGACCATGAACCCAGGTCTCCCTGGATCAGAACAGGAGATCTTAACCACCTAAAAGAACCCCCATGTTCACAGTGATCCCACTGAGGGACTTCCCGGTCCTTCACCAGCCTCAAAACCCAAAGGTTCATTCTTTCTAGAAGCCCTGCCCACTCTCAGAACCCACATTGGCCTGAGGCTGCACTCAAGTCCACTGAAGGTCCAGAATCCTATTTGCTGATAAATATGAAGGCGAATTCATGACTCTTGACCCCTTTTCTCTCTTCATTCCCCAACTCTGGAGAGGTGCAATAAGGGTCTGGCTCCCGGGAGACCAACCAGTCTGGCTTGTCAGTCTATAGATGGATGAGGGGCAGGGGAAGAGTTATAGTCGGGCTTTGAGGCTTGCTTTGGGGAGCATCATTCAAGGTACATTCTAGAAACATTAAACCCCAGGGCAGAGCAACCAACACCTTATCCCTGCAGAATCTTGATGGCTCTGGGGAGATTCTGAAAAATGTAACTGACCAGTGGGACTAAAAGGGATGTATCCTAAGAGTGTAAGTGTGACCAGGTAGCACAGTAAGCTGTTAGACTGATACAAAGCTGACCCTTCTGAGTGGATAGGGGAGCAGTACCCAGTGCCCAGATATTCCACAAGTAGTGATTGTTTCTTGTTGCAAGAGAGGCATGGAGAAATACTGGGGCCATGTTTCAGAGGACTCTGCAGCCCGGGGCTGTCAGGATTGGCCTCTCCACTCCAGCAAGCCAAGTCTCAGATTCCAGGAAAGACCACTCCCTGCTCAGAGCTTTCAAACTTTCCCTAGCCACCCTCACTCCAGTGCTCCAGAATTCGCAGCCAAATGGCTCAGACCAGTCTACCTGAGGCAAGAAATCTGGGATCATTCTGGTCATTGCAATCATTCCCATTCTTTGTCCAATCCCTCTGCCAATGTTTCCCAGGCCTCCATCATGGGAGCAAAGTTGAGAAAAGAATTGTCCATAAAGTCAGGTAATAGTGGCCTTTAATGGTACCAGTCTTCTGGAGCAGGGGGTCAATCTTCCACCCCTAATCCATCCCTTCTGGAGGAGAAATCCATTCCACTTTAATAACTTTATTGCAATGAAGGAAAGAAAATAAAGAAACGTTTACTTTCTAAGCTGAGGACACTACATTGGAATTTTTTTAACCTGAATTGTGACCCTAAAACATTAAATCTGATGTACTAAATAGGGTTGGTGGAAGGCAAGTGCAGGTACTGTCACCAGGACACCTCTTAAAGAAGTTCTCAGGAACTTGCAGAATCCATATAGCTCTCAAGGGAAGAGAGGGCTGCAGCTGGATGCTCCTCAGTTTCCTACAATGGCCAAGCCAATCACCTTTGCCAGATTTTCCTGTGATCTGCTCTAAGATGAATTGTGAAATTCACATCAAGCAATTCTGGAAGATGGACTGCATCCTATCATGATCTGCCACTTCCCATGGGTGTGTGGATGTCATTAGGTCCCACGCTGACTCCCCAACTCCCATCACTGCCGCCCAATGGGGCAAAGAAGCAAAAAACATTTCTTACTCATGTGTTTTAACAAAAGTTTATACTGCAATAAAACAAATGGTGCATATGTTTTCTAAGCCCTTGTATAGGTGTCTTTTTTTTTTTAAGGTGTTAGTAATAAAGGTAGTCCTAGAGGGTTTTTTTGGGGGGGGGGTTGTTTGTTTGTTTGGGGTTTTTTTCGGTACTGGGGATTGAACTCCGGACCTTGCGAGGCAGGTGTGGTGCCACTGAGCTAAATTCCAGGCCCTCGCCTTATAAGGCACAAAATACTTTCTTATCCGTGCGTGTGTGTGTGTGTGTGTGTGTGTGTGTGTGCGTGCGTGTGTATGACTAAGATTTGAACCCAGAGCCTTCACACTGAGCTATTCCCCAGCCCTTTTATTTTTATTTTGAGATGGGGTCTCACTATGTTGCTAAATTGCCTTTCAGGGCCGGGGATTTAGCTCAATGTTTCTGCTCCCTGCCTTGAAAGCAGAAGGACCTGAGTTCAATCCCCAATACTAAAAAAACAAACCAAAGCAAAACAACAGAGTGCTGGCATTATAGACATGTGCTACCATGCCTGGCTCCATATCAAGATGTAAGTAGATTAGACCTTATGATGACCTCACATTGTGTAAATGAGGAAACTGAGGCTCAGGAAAATGATTTTCCTTGAGGGGCAGAGTTCTCTTGACTCCAAGCACTCTACATATGGAGAGAGAAAAATCGATCCTCCCTTCCAAAGAGGGGAGGAACAAGGAAGAGGGTGATGGAAAGGTGGAAGAATGGCAAGAAGATCCAAGGGCCTGTCACCTGCCATCAGGGCCCAAGATGGAGCCCTTTTCTGGGTCACCTCAACCTGCCAGCCAACCAGGAGATGCATAGACATGAGGAAATTTCATAAAAGCAAGTGTTGATTTAAAAAAAAGAATGGAAGTGGGAAATGGACCTGAGAAGTTCCAGCCAGGCCTGTAGTCACTTGCTCCTTTCCCCCTTAGGGAGGTGGCCTTGTGTCTTGGCCTCACGTTTACTTGGGATGTGCTGGAGTGACTTGTGAGAGCCGATTCCGAGTTTCTCCTCCCAGCTCCAAATTTAGTGATGTCAAATCAGCACCTTGACATTGGCCACCAAGGAAACATTTACACCACAACTGGCAAATGATACAAATCAAGTTGTTTCTCCTGGACAGCCCATTGTCTAAGCACACCACAACCTTCAGTGATGGCTAAACTAAGGATGCCTGGCTTAGGTGACACTCAAAGATGAGAGTGGACAGGGGGACTCTCAACTCTTCCTGATGGTTCTGGTCTGGGAGTCGCACATCTCGGTGATCAGCGTAATCTCTCGCCAGTCACTCCACCTCCCCAAGCCGCCTCTGTAAAGTGGGAATGATAGCTCCTTCAAGCAATGCTGTTGGGCTTCAGTTGGATAAGCCAATGAGAACTGTACTAGATATGATACTGGGAGAAATACAAACAAGAGAGAACAATGAGCCCTTCAGCAGCCCCCTTCTGGTAAGAGGCTAACCATTAAGCCCTCCAGCCTCAAGCGCACCCATCACCTGCCTTTCCACCCTGGGGCCACTCCTACCTTTCTGCCCCTTCCCTCCCCTTCTCCGTACCAGGAAATGTTTGCGATGATGTTGCAATGAAGGCCCCGTCCATGCCTTGCCAGTATGGTCATGGGGGTGGGGGCCAGCAGAGGCTATTTCAGTTCTAAATTGGGCTTAATAAATCCCTATCAAAACCATAAACCCTGAGCAGCCATAAATTCTCCTTGACCTTGGCTCTTCCACCTCACCAGCCCTTTGCCCCAGCTAATCTCAAATCTCAGTGTGAGTGGCTAGAACTTCATGTTTGGTTTCCATTTTGGCTGCTAAACAGCAACAGCTTAGATGACAAACACTAGCACCCCCATTTCAGCAATGTTGAAACCGAGCTTCAGAAAGGTGCAGGAACTTGTCCCGAGCCACCCAGCCAGTGAGGCACTGGGCCAGGACTTGAGCCCATGTTTCTGCCATTAACCTATGGGGCTAAGAATTGGGGCTTCTGGAAGTCTTCTCCTTTTAGCTCCCCTTTAACGGTTGTTTCTGGAGTCATGCTACTAGAAGCTTCTAATGCCTTTATCCCAGTGTTCAGAGTTAGAACTGGAAGCAGAGGGAACCCTGGGTGATAGGCAGCTTGAACAGACAATGAAAACGGCATGGAGAGTATATGTTCTGTCATCCCAAATTGATGAAATAGCCCTACTTCCTCCTTTGTAGAACTCAGATCACCTTTGATCACAAATCAGTCAAACAGAAATCCCAAGATGTGATTTAAGAGACCAGAATCCTAGATGCCATGCAGCTGGAGATGGTGGTGCTAAAAGCTGAATCATGGTGCCAAGAATGATGTTTATGGGGGCCGGGGATTTAGCTCAGTGGCTCCAGCACCTGCCTTGCAAGTGCAAGGTCCCGAGTTCGATCCCGGTACGAAAAAATAAAAATAAAATAAAGAATGATGTTTGTGGAGCTCTTCCTCTTGGCCAAACACTGCTAGATATAATCTGATCCCCACAGCAAACCTTGGAGGCAGTCACTCTTGTTCTGTTTTACAAATGAGAAAACAGGCTCAAGAGGAGGAAGGGACTTGCCAAGATCCTTAGCTGCTGTGACAACGGATCTCAGATGCCCATCTGGCTCCACCAGCCACATGAGGGGATGGAGGAGGACGCTGATGACTCAGGCACTGCATGATGAGTACAGTAGTGACAGGAGTGGGAAGTTTAGCACTTGACGAAAGCTGATGGGTGAAGCCCTGTGGTGAGGCATCCTGAGATTACAAAGAAGCAATAATACCAGGCATTTCCCTCCTGGAGCCCACAGAGGGAAAAATAACAAGCAGTTGAATATTAAGAACCAATGGGCCCTGGAAATTTAGCTCAGTGGTTTCGCCACCTGCTGTGCAGGCACAAAGAACTGAGTTCGATATCCCGTACCAAAAAAAAAAAAAAGAACCAATGGAGCAAGAGTGACAGCCAGTGAGGTGGTGGGGAGAGATTTCCAGATTGGGGAAAGGGAGCGATGTGCCCTCGGAAGGAGGAGGATCCAGCAATGATGAGGCAGAAAAGAGACAGAAGCACTTGCTGGAGGTGGAGGAGAGCAGGGGCCCTGTGTGGGAGAAGCATCAGAAAGCCTGCAGGTGCCAGGGACCCTGGGGGCTGCACTTGCACTTGCCCTTCTCCATGCCTGAGGACCATGGTACCTTCTGTTTCTTAACATTTATCTTTCAATCAATTCATAAGCATCCTCTTTAAATGTGAGGTCATTGACATGAATAAGAACACAGTATCACTGGCCGTAAACAGAAGATGATTTCACAATTAAAGCACACACACACACAAATCTATGGTCAGACAGAATTCCCATAGAGAAAGCTCTACTCTTCCTTTATTTCTTTACTAAAAAAAACCTTGAAATTATGCACAGTAGAGCTTCGTATTTTTTGTTTGTTTGTTTGAGGCCACCTCAGCCTCCCAAGTATGCTTCATACTCCACAGGCCACTCTGCTGTCTAGAGAATGGATTACGGTGGCAGAGATTAAAAGTAGGAAGCCCAGAGGTGGCATGGACTGCAGTGAGGTAAGAGACAAAGGCAGCATAGACAGGGGCTGGGAGCAGGCAGAATTTGAAGCCAGACCCCAGATCTCAACTCCTAGTGCATATACAACTTCTCTCTCTTTTCAATCAGATACTAATCTAGGTGCTGCTGTGAAGGGATTTCATAGAGTAATTAAGGTCCCAAACCAGTTGAGTTTGTGATAGGGAGATTATCCTCTATGGCCTCACTTCATCAGCTGAGCCTTAAAGGGGATTGGGTTCTTCCTGGCAAATTAAATTAGAAGTTATAAGAGGGATTCCATATGAGGCAGGTTTCCTGCTCCTGGATTCTCTGAAGATGGAGTGAGGGTCCACGAGTATCAGCAGCCTTCATAACCTGAGAGTGACCCTAGGCTGATATCCAGTAAGAAAATGGTGACTTCAGTCCTACAACCATAAGGAACTGAATCCAGCCACCAAGAAACATATGTAAGCTTGGATCTTTCCTTGCAGGCTTCAAGGAGGGAGGGCACAGCCCAACTGACACCTAAGCTGAGAACCCAATCACACTTTGTCCAAGCTTCTGACCTACAGAACTTTGAGATAAACAATGGGTGATTTAAGCAACTACATTTGTGGTTATTTGCTATCCAGCAAAAGAACAAATACAGATGCCGGTGGTGAGAGGTGGTCAGGTAGGGATATTTTGAGAGTAGAACTTGACAACGAGTGTGAAGAAAAGACAAGGAATAATGGTGGGGCTGATGATGTGATTTGTTGACCTGGGGAAGGCCATGGGAGGTGCAGGTTTGGGTTAGAAAAGGAAGAGTTCCATTTTGGATGTGTGGCTCAGGATGTCAACAAAACATCCAAGGAAACACAAGATGTGTGAATCTAGAGCTCAGGAAAAAGTTGGGGCTGGAGGTGAAAAGTCCAAGTTATAAGTGTAGATGAGAAACTTGAAAATCGAACGGGAATTCTGCCCAGCAATGAACAGGAGCAAAGTACGAACACGAGGAACGTAGATCACCCAGACACTGTGCTGAGTGACAGGGGCCAGACTCAGAAGACTGCTTCCCATGTGACTCCACCTGTAAGACATTCGAGAAGAGTGAAAACCAGGGGATAGAGCTGTGATTACCAGAGGCTGGAGCTGGGCTGCGGGGCTTAAAGACGAAGGGGCACAGGGAAAGGGGGCTAGGAGGTGATAGGAATGTCCTGTGGAATCTTGCCTGGGATGTGTTTACATGACTGTGCACTTGGCAAGACTTACAGGAGCACACATTAGGAAGAATGAACTTTAGCGTGCGGGAATTATACCATAATAAAAAAATGAAAGAAAAAAGCCAAATAGTTGCTTGAGCTCATTTAAAGAGAAGGCATAGAGAGCAAACAGGTTAGAGGTGAGGATTTTACTCTGAGCTAAACCACCACTGAGGTTGGAAAGAGAAAGAGGAGCCAGCAAAGTGCAGGTAGGATAAAGACAGAGGAGGGACGAAAGGCCTTCACTCAACTTTATTGTGGGCCTGCTGTGTGCTAAGTGTGCCGGCAAACTCGCTGGCCACTTAGCAACCGCGAGGTTAAATGAAGCCTGCTTGTCCTACAGATGAGGGGAAGTGACCTGTCCCTCAGTCCCCATGCAGCATCAGAGTGGCAAAGTGAGAAAATCTGTGCTGGCAAGTCCCACATAACCTTCCCTGTTTGCCAAATGAATAAATGAATCCATGAATCTCACTACACTCAAGGTGCTGAGACCAGAAGACTCTCACTGATGATGTGAGAACATGGTATTTTTAGAGAAGCTGGGGCCATAAAAACTTGTTCCATTCCTAACTTGTGCAATGCCCAGCCCCTCCCCCTGAGCTCTGAGATTGCTCACGGCCTTGGGAAGGGCTCCCCATGCTTATCTCAGGGAGAGTGAAACTGTAAAACCCTTTATGGTTTTGAGATCATGTCTGGCAGGGCAGTGATTGTTGCCATAAACCTGAGCTGGCCCTGCAAGGAGGGCGATGCCCTGAGCAAGAGGTGTCAGGGGAAGGTTGAGTAATGCCCGAGGGAGTGGCCTCTCTAGGCCTGGCACTTTGAGGTCTGTGGTCACGACCTGTCACACACTTATTCCATCTTCATGTAAGCTGGAGAGAACAGTTAGTATATTTAAAAAATCCTACCACATGCCCTTTTCTACATCCTGGAAATTGGTTACCTTTTTAAATCCATGGCTTCTCACAATTGCTGCTGGATAAATCAAGTGGTGGCTATGATCTTGCTGGTTCTTGTCATTATTTTTGGTTGCCTAACTGGACAACTGCACCCATTTTGGGTTTCATCATGAACTATTTAAGGACCATTTGAGGAAGGACACAAGCCAGTGGTTTCCTGAAACCTGCCATTGAGGCCTTCTGATACAAGCGAGGAGGCACCTGGGGTAGGAGTGGCTAGGCTGGAAGAGACCAGGAGAGGATAGTGGGCCTGTTCCTCCAGGGACCGCTTGCTGTGGGGTGGACGCTCAGTGGTACCAGTTGGTACTGCATGGACAATACCAGCAATGGAGTTCTGAGTAGAAACCGTGGGCTAGACCATGCCTAAACAGAGGTTTTATGAATTTCTTAATGAATTTGTTTCACTTGTATTTTCCTTTATTTTTTTAAATTTTTTTTTAATTTATTTTTTTTGGGGGGGGACCAGGGATCGAACTTGGGACCTTGAGCATTCGAGGCAAGTGCCAGAACCACTGAGCTAAATCCCCGGCCCCATGTTTTCCTTTGTATGTGCACAAGAGTGATATATGATTTTTAAAAACTAAAAATGGCTGAGAATGTAACTCAGGGGTAGAGCATATTCTTAGCATGTGGGGGGCCCTGGATTCAATCTCCAGCCCTGCTAAGAAAGCAAACACCTAAGTCTAAGACTCAAAGAGCTCTTTTTTTTGTTGTTTTGGTGTATTTAACCCTTTGGTGTATTCAACCCAAGACTTCACAATGAGCAACATCTCCATCCCTTTTTATATTTTAAATTTTTGAGACAGAGTCTTGCTAAATCACTAAGTTCCCCAGGCTGGGGTTGAACTCGTGTTCCTCCTGCCTTAGCCTCCCAGAGTGCTGGAATTGTAGATGTATGGCACCATATCCAGCTCAAACAGTTCTTTTGACAAATGTAAAATAAAAATTCTAGGAGCAGGGGATGTAGTTCAGTGGTGCCCCATCTTCCTGGCAAGCGCAAGATCCTGAGTTCCATCCCTGGTACCAGGGGAAAGAAAATTTCTAACTGCCAAGGAGGTATTACATCTTCATTGAATTGGCACTGTTTTCTTTCTGTGTGGTACAGAAAATGCTGCTCCCTCTTATAACTGATGCATCCTAGCTCAGGCGTCCCATTTTGTACATGAGAATAGAGAGGACAAAGGGCCGACGAACAATGGAGCCAAGGCCAATACCCAAAGCTGCCCTGGATGCAGATTACCCTGCAGTGCTTCCCCTCTCAAAGGTCTTATCTCCAGTCAAACACCTCCAGTGCTGCCATCCTGCAGGGCTCTGGGAGAGCCTGAGCTGCCCTGTTGTTCAAAATGCAAGCTGAGGATGCTTTGCAGGAAATCTTCCACCCAATAGACCAGCCACCCTGTTTCTCACTGCTCACATCAGCAACCCCTGTCTGGCCAAACGCACCCCCACTGCACTGTCACATGACTGCAGCATTGTTCCTAGGACATTTTTGCCTGTGTCCAGAACCATCCCACCTTTCACGGCCTGGTCTTGGACTTAGACAACTAGATTGGACTCTCACCTCACTCTCCAGGTAAGGAAACTGAAACCCAGAGAACTGTCTTGATTCTCTCAAGGGTACAGATGAATTGATTATAGGGCAGGGTCTAGAATCAAGGACTCAAACTCCAGTGCCCTTTCTAACTTCTCCTATCTCTTGAATCTAGAAGCGCAGGCTGGGCAGAAAGAGCAAAGGGTGGAAAGTGAGTCAAAAGATAGGACTCCCGCCTGCCTCGCAAGCGCCACGTCCTGAGTTCAGTCCCCAGCACACACACACACACACACACACACAAAGATAGGGCTCCCTGGTCGCATGATGGCCAAGGCCTAAATGTGTCGTCCAGGAATGTTGCCTGGGTCTTGCTGAGACTAAGCAGTTCTGGGACGGCTGCTTTTAAAGGAGCACAAAGGTACTGCCTTGCCCAGAGGAGGAGAGAAGGGGACCAAATTACACAGGCGGTGGCTCCCATCCCTGCCAGACCCCGCTGTCTCTACTTAAAATCCTCCCGAGGCTTCTTACCATGCTTGGAACAAAGCTCAGACTCCCTACCCAGGGCCAAGGCCCTACACCCGACCCTTCTTCCTCTGCTGCTGTCTCCTCTGACTTGGTCACCTCCAGTGGTCACTCTGTCCCAGGCCCCTGGGCCTCCTCCTGGTCCTCTGCGTGCCAGAGCTGTTCCTGTTTCTGAGCCATTTCCTCAATGATCCCTTTGTCTGGAACAGGCTTTCCTCTGCTCTTCCAGTGGCCACTTCCTTCTAACCCTTCCAGCCTCGGCTCAGATGTCACCGCTCAGAGATGCCTTCTCTGAGTAGAGCTACATAAATGAGGTTTCCCAGGCTGAAACAGTCTCTGTTGCACCAACTGAAATCTGCCTGGCTGCATGCAGATGCTGTGGCCATGTGTAGAGGAATGGTCCTGACTGAGCCCAACCAAGCTTCATCTGCAAAGCCAGGCAGTGGCTGGATTTGGCCCAAAATAACACGACAACCCCGTTTTTACATCGTCATCTTTGGTTTTCCTGGTTACACTTAAAGCTTCCAAAATCATCTGTATATTTGTTTATCCATTTATTGTCTTCCTCCCCCTTTCCTTCTCTAGACATTAACTCCTTAAGAGAAAGGACTTTGTCAATGTTAATACTGGCTACAAAATAAGTTCCATGTGCAATTAATAGAGGATACATCATAAAAGTTATTCTTTCTTTTCTTTTTCTTTTTTCTTTTCTGTACCAGGGATGGAATCCAAGGCCTCATCCCTGCTAGGTCAGTGCTCTGCCACTGAGCTACATCCCCTGCCCTTTTTGAATTTTTGCTTTGAGACAGAGTCTCAGAGTGCCAAAGCTGACCTCAAACGTGTGATCCTCCTGCCTCAGCCTCCTGAGTAGCTGGGACTACAGCTACACACCACCACACCCACTTGAAAAGGTAAATATTTGAAAGAAAAATGTAATAGAATGTTTATATAAATAAATATAAAAACATAAAGATATCAAAGGCACAATGAAGACTTTCCTAACCTAGTAATAGTCCTTAGATAAGATGTCTCTAACAAGAATCCTTCTAACCATGAAATCCTAAGCTTCTGGGGCTCTTACTTTCTGCGCTCCAATACTCTGAGTCTATGATTAGACGATCCCAAGATTTTAGGCTTCTCTTTCTCCACATCTGTGATTCCACAGTTTTGTGATTCTGTGATCCTGACGTCTTACAGTTCATTTATCAGCACATGTCATTGCTTCGCAACTCCTCTCTGCCCAGCACGGGGCTGGGAGCCAGGGATTCCACGGGAGCTGGCGGGGCACAGGCAAGAACTTGAGCATGTAGGTCTGCACGGTGACATGTGTCCCGCATAGGAGTGCAGTCGGGTGTGGGGAGGGAAGGGGCCCCGACCCAGACTAAGTGGGAAGGATGTGAGTGCGGAAACAACTGGAAGAAAACCGCGAAGAAAGGGTGTTTCTACCAGACAGCAGGGTGCTGGTGTCAACTGTATTCCAAGAGGAGGGAACAGACGGTGCAAAGATCCGGGGTGGGGGGGGCACGATCATCCGGTGAACTAAAGCAAGTAGGCATAGTTGGGTGTGGTGCAGAAGAGGGGCGGAGTGGTGCGCCACAGTGGCCCCGTGACAGAGGACTCGGTAAAGCTGTCCGGGAGCTTGAACTTTACCTTGAGGGCAAAGGGGAGCTGGGGAAGAGTTTAAGGGGAAGAATGACACGGTCTGGTTGGCAGTTTGGAAAGATGCCTCTGGCTGCTGGGTGCGGGTTTGGAAGGAGCAGAGACAAGAGAAGGGGCTGGAACGAGGACCCAGGTGAGAGAAGATGAGGCCTGAACGGATGGGAGATACGGATGGGAGGGCGGTTGTCTTAGTCACCTGTGAGCCTGGCTCTCCTGGAGTCAGATTCTGTGTTCAACACTCTGCAAGTCTTTGACACAAAATGCCCACCCATGTCACTCTGTGTTTAGGATGCCCAACCACGCAGCCTCCATCCCTGCTTTGCAAGCCTCAGTATCCCTGGTTTGGAAATTGGAGGTCACCAACCCTTTCCTTGCAAAGCGGCCAGCAGGGTGGAGTCTGTGTGCATCAGCACCACATACAGAGGTGGTCCCCTGGGGTGGGCATCTTTGCCCTAAGTGACAATACAAGGCACTGGCAGGAAAGGCTGGGTCTTGAGAGACCAAGAGAGAGCCGAAGAGAAGAGCAGAGAAGGGAGGAAGAGCCCTGGCTGCTCTGGGTGCTGGGCTTCCATCTGGGCATCTGAAGCCCAGGGTTGTGTGTTTGCTTCTAGCCCTCAGCGGGTTTATGAGTGGGTTGTGGGATTTTCCTCCATTGAGCAACTTCCCCATTTCCTCTCCTGGCCTTAAACTCCAGCCAGGCAGGATCTGGTCTTCCTGGGACAGGTCCAAGCCAGGTCAGGTCCCACTATGATATTTGGACCCAACCAGAAACCAACCTGTGCCCCCTCCAGGCCAAACTACAGTCTACTGTCCATCGGTCCCAACAAGAGCCAGTCTTTGAAGACAAAAACTCCCTTGTCGCCCCAAAACTACAACAGGTAGTCTTCTAAACCACACCAGGGGCTTCTGTGTGCTCCTGTGCTATACCTGTCTCATGCCAGTGGTTCAGTTTTAATTCAGTTCAGTTCACAAAACAGCAGTTGAATAACAACTGTGGGCAAACCCCACAGTTAGCAGAACCCTCAGAGGCCTACTTGGGGCTTGGAGGGGACAAAGGGGGCCACCAAGGATGTGCCTGGAGCCCCATGCTGTGTCTGTCCAAGGCAGGAGCACTCTGCCAATTGAGAGTTTCAGTGACACAGGTTCTATACTTTGCTGGGTAGCATAAGCCTAGAGAGTCTGAAGAGAATGGTGGCCTTGGGAAAAGAGGAATGGATAGCTGGGGCTGGGGTGAGAGGAAGACCGTTTTATGCCCTTTTGTACCTTTTGAATGTTTACCTGTCACCAAGCGCACACAACAGCGTCAATCAATGGAACAAACAATCTCAATTAAATAAACAATTCAGTGAGCCAGGTGCTTTTGTAACTCCATGCCTTTATGTGTGCCGTTCCCTCTGCTGAAATGCCCTTTCCTGGCACTGTAATCCATTTTCTGTTGCCATAACTAAATATCTGAGACTGGGTGATTTATAAAGGAAAGGTATTATGTCTAGCTCGTGGTTTAGAGGCTGGGAAGTCCAAGAGCACGGTGCTGGGATCTCGTGAGAGGCTTCCTGCTGCATCCTAACGTGAGAGAGGGTTTCACACAAGACAGCGAGCAAGCCAGAGAGAGCCTGATTTATATCAAAGCCAGGCCTGCAATAACTCATGAATCCATTGATGTGTGAATGGGCCACATCCATCCAACTTCCCCCCAAAGGTCCTGGGAACCAAGTTCCAACACAAGACATTTGGAAGACACATTCAAACCACCACCCCTGGCTCTCTCCCTCTGGAACACTACACACCCTCCAAGACACAGTCAAATGGCCTGTCTCTAGGGTGTGGCCTGGCCTGCCTGGGGGTGGGGGGCTCTTCTTCCTTTATCTGCCTACCGCACCCAGGGTCCACCTACCGGTCCCACCCCAGCCCCAGGAAGCGTCTGTGCCTTCTGGCTTCTCAGTGCATTCAGCCAAAAACAGGAATCAACAGGAGAGTAAGGGCAGGGCTCGAGCAAGAGGCGGGGGTGTTCGTGCCAGTGCTGACCCTCCCACCCCCTTTTTGTCTGAACTTTGGCATTGGCTGCTTTTCTCTGTGGCCTCGGCTCCTATCTGGTCCTCCCTTCTACTCCCACACCTCCAGCTGTGTCTGGGTCCAGCACCACTGTCCCTGCTGCTGCCCTGCAGGACTTAGGGTGATCCTAGCCTCGCCCCCCATTCCTAGTCTTTGGTACCTCATCACTCCTTGGAGTTTCCCTAAGCCTTCCCACACCTCTGGAAACTCTGCCTCCACTCACCTCCTTTAGCTATGCCTGAGATCCTTAATCTGGGGACACTTTTGGCCACCAGGGCAACATTTGGAAATGTCTGGAGACACTATTTTTTTGTCAGCTGGGTGGATAGGGGGATGCTATTGGCTTCTATGGGCACTAAACATCCTTCCATGCACAGGACAGCACTCACAACAGAGAATTATCTGGGCCCAATGACAGCAGTGCTGAGGATGAGAAACCCTTCTCCCTTCCCCTAGTACTGGGATTTGAACACAGGGCCTTTGCACTGAGCTGCATCCCCAGCCCATTTTTATTTTATTTTATTTTATTTTATTTTATTTTATTTTATTTTAAAGACAGGGTTTCGTTAAGTCATTCAGTTGCCCAGCATGGGCTCTAACTTGTAGTCCTCCTGCCTTTGTCTCCCAGAGTGCTGGCATTACTGATGTGCTGGGATTACCATACCTGGCTAAGAAACCTTTACTTAAGTCTTTGAGGTTCCAACTGTTCCTCACCTGGACCTCAGTAGGTCATGGCTGAGATTCTGGACTCCTGCTGCCCTTTCTGCACGGTGGTGGGATCCACTGGATTACATATCTGCTATTGTCTCCTCTCAGTGACACAGAGATAAACAAGCCTGCCTTTGCTCTGAAGCCCCATTTCCATGAGGAAATACACAATGTGCACCCTTCTGGGTGGTGTCCCAAGTATTGAGTCCTTGGGGCAGATCTCTGTCACATTCACCAGCAATAGGAGATCAGCAGACTTTTGCAATAGATCCTTCAAAAACATCTTTAAGCAGCCTGGACTCAATGGCTAGACATAGGAAAGTAGGGTGAGGGTTCCAGGCAAATATGCACAGAATGAATGAATGGTAGACCCAGGACTACAGAGAGGAGGCCCAGGGAGGAGGCAGGAGCCAGCATCCTGTCTCTAAATTGGATGTAGTGGTAGGAGATTGCAGTGAGAATAAGTGTAATGCAAGGGCTTTGTGTGCTGCCTGGTACGTGGTTAGCACAAAATAAACAGCGTCCTCCCCAGCTGTCTGGAAGAAGTGAGGGAGGAGAAGCCTTAAAGTGAGGGCTCTGGAAGAGCTCTGCCATGGACAAGGGGCTGCAATTTCCCAGTTTGTAAAATGGGGGAAATACAGGTAAGACTAGCACTTTGCAGAAACGGTATCATGGGGTTGCTCACGATGTGTGATTAGAATATCATTTTCCACATCAATCTATAATTTAATAAGAGGAAAAGTTTAGTCTGCTAAATTGTGGTGAAATATGCTCATCAGGCAGGCTTGGAGAGCAACTCATCCTGTTTTCCCTGGCACTTTTCCAGTTTCAGCACAGAAAGTCTTGTGTCCTGAAAACCTCCTCAGTCTCCACAAAGCGGAAGAGGTAGGTGGCCACACCAGCAGGTCAATCGGTCAGCTGCTCACAATAATTTTAAAGATAATAAATAGCAAACATATGTTGGATGCTTATTACGTGCCAGACGCTGTTCTAATGACAATTTCATGCTCAATTAATCTTCATAAGAATCCGTGAATATTATTAACATCTCCCCTTACATTGTGACATAAAGAGGCTCCACAATTGCCAAAGTCACACAGCTTCGGAATAGTCGAGCCAGGATTTGATTCCAGGCTGTGTGGCTCCAGAGCTCCTATATTTACCCATGATCTCTATTATACATTTGAATGTATTTCAAAACATGTTTTTAAAATAGTAACAATGACAATAATAATGAAGATATAAAATATTTTGGGAAACAGTAAGCATGATAATAAAAATTTTGAACACACAAATGTGCATTCCAAAGGCTGAACCCAGCAGAGACTATTTCTATGATCATTTTGACCACTGGATTGACGCATTGCTGTGCAGACCGCAGAATAAAGCATTTTGAGCCGGGGATTTAGCTCAGTGGTTCCGCCGCCTGCCTCACAAACACAAGGTCCCAAGTTCAATCCCTGGTACCAAAAAAAAAAAAAGAAGAAGAAGAAGCATTTTGGCCACCTTGACTAAATGAAAGCTGGAACAAAAGACTCGGATGTTGACAGTGCCATGTGGGCAATGTCAGCAAGCAGGAAGGAGTGAGGATCATGGCAAAAATGGGAATGGAATTTATGGGCTGAGAAGGAGCAGCGAAGAATCAACTCCCAGCACTTGAGACGGGGGCCCAGCTGTGGCAGATCCCTCAGGAAAAGCCAGATTCGCACACTAAACAGCAACAAATCCAATGAAAACAAAATAGAGACACCAGGTGCATGAAACAAGATACAGCAATGAAAATGAATAAACTTCAGCAAAAAATGCGGATGAATCTCACAAACTTAAGCCAGGCACGGAGAGGCGCACCACGCGTCATTCATTTTCTATCACTTTCGGCAGCCTCAAAACTCATCTTCAGTGTTCGGAGGCAGAAGTGGGGTTGGGGGGTGGGGAGGAGGGATTGGAAGGACAGAAGGAGGACCTTCCGGCCACCTCTGTTCCTCATCTGGTGCCAACGACATGGTAGCATTGTCTATGTGACAATCCATTCAACTGTGCTCTTAAATTTGGGGCACTTTTAAGGTATATTTTTTAATTTACATACAATTTTTATGGCACACATATACCCACAAGCCATTACCACTTGGAAATATGTCTCTGGATGAAGCAAGATATACTTGAATATAAAAGAAATTAAATACTAGAATAATCGGATTCTGAGTGCACGATGACTTTTTGCTGAATAAATGAAGAGAATGCAATTGTCAGATATGCCTGGATTTGAAATGTGGTACATAACGAAACACCCTCGCTTTTCTCAACACTTGTTTTATCTAATAACATTGGCATTAAGATTTACATCTCTTTTTTTTTTTTTTGCTGTCCCCTTTCAGTCACATTTGTAAGCATTTGAAGTTATAACTTTCCATACAGTTAGTGTAACAGGCTCTTGTGGAAAAGGGGTTCAGCGGTGAAGAAGCTACGGGAACCTGAAGGTTCTAAGCTCTGCCTACCATAAGCAGGCTGCAAATGCAGGGTGTGTGTGTGGAGGGGGGTGGTTTGCACAGCAGGGATGGGTGGGAAGGGAGTGCCACAGCCAGCAGCAGCATTGAGCAGGTAGCAGGCAGCTGTGGCTGTGTCCCCAGGGGTAAGCCCCCACTCACAAAGTGTCCATTTGCCAGTGCATTAATCCAGCAGTCCGAGTGATCACATAAATGGCCTCAACCGGGTTCAGCTTTGGAATGCACATTCGAGTGTTGGGAATTTTTATTACCGTCGAGAGTCAGCTCTGCAGGTCACAGTGGTGACACCTTAGTCCAATAATCACAAAGACATTGAACTACCAGCAGGAACGAGATGTCAGCAGCACCTGTGGTCCGGGGAGCCTCCCTGGTCCCAACCCTATGACCAACCCAAACACCCCAAACCAGCCACTCCTCACCCCTCCGCCTGGTCCTCGTCATCCTCCAGTCCGCTCTTCCCTCCTCCCTGGGCTCTCTGTCCCCCTTGAGCCACTGAAGTCCACCCTCTATGGTGTTTTCTACAAACTCTAAATCGGGCTGGGCGTGGTGGCACATGCCTGTAATCCCGGCAGTCGGGAGGGTGAGGGAAGGGGATTGCAAACTTGAAGTTAGCCTGGGGGATTTAGCAAGACTCTGTGTCAAAATAAAGTTTAAGGCTCTGTTAACTTGCCACGGTAGCCCACACCGAGCCTCCCAGAGGCAGCCTGTGCTTTTAGGGTTGCTCTCTCTCTCTTTTTCTCCTTACTTGGCCCGACCTCGCTCTGCAGAGCCAATTTCTCTCCCACTCTTCACTTTTACTTTCTTGAATAAACATTGCCACTGCTTTTTTTAAAAAAATAAAATGAAATAAAATAAAAATTTAAAAAAATAAAATTTAAGAGGGCTAAGCTGGGGATTTAGCTCAGTGGCCCTGCATCTGCCTCGAAAGGTCCTGAATTTGATCCCCGGTACTGGGGATCAAAAAAAAAGGGAGAGAGGCTGGGGTGTAGCTCAGTGCCACAGTTTTTGGCTCCCATAGTGGGTTTAATCAATAGTACCACCAACACACACACACACACACACACACACACACACACACACACGGAGATGCCCACCTCCAGCCCTGCCCCCGGGCCACCCCACCGGAAAGTTATCCCACTGTAACATCCAACTCCCCGGCCCCATATCTAAGCCCTGATCCTCCTGATCCTTCAGCTCTCCCTTCTCACCCAGCAACACCAGTCCCTCCTCAGGGACTTTGCTCTTGTGGGCCCTCTGCCGGGACTCCTTTGCTCCCACGTCTTCAAAAAGCCTGCTATAGCTGGGCATAATACTGTATGCCTTTAATCCAAGCACTGTGGGAGCCTGAGGCAGGAGGATCACAAGCTCCAGCTCAGCCTGTGCAGCTAGTGAGTTAGCAAGACCCTGTCTCAAAAATAAAAAATAGAAAGGGGTTTGGGGTGACCTTCAGTGTGAAAGCCCTGAGTTCCCAAGGAAAAAAAATGCCACTGCTTCTTGTGATTCAGATGTCACTGATCTCCAAGAAACCAGCAACACAGGAGCTTCTTGGGAGGAAGACTGTGGCAAGGAACACGGGTTATGGCAGGAAAAAGTGCTTCGACCTCATGACCTTTGCATTGCTTGAATTGCCCATCATGTGCTTATTCCAACAAATTGGTTATTACATCAGAAGCGGCTCCTTGGAGAACCCTTTCTAGGAAGCAGCTTCCGCAGTTCCTTCCTGTCTTGGTGCTGAGATTTCTCTTATGCTTCTTTTGTGACAGTTCTGCAGTTGCCTGTTTCTTGGTTTTTTCCTCGTTTGAGCTTGTTGGCTCTCTCTTCATGAGGACAGGGACTTACCTATCACCTAGCACATAGGAAGCACTAATAATATTTACTGAATAAGGAAAGAGAGGGGCTGGGGGCATAGCTCAGTGGTAGGTGGCTTCCACATGCAGTGCTTCCATCTCTACCACCTCATCCCCCAAGGAAAAAAAAAGGCCGGGCATGGTGGCACACACCTGTTAACCCAATCCTAGTACTTGGGATGCTGAGGCAGAAGGGTGGGAAGTTCACAGCCAGCCAGGACTATATAGTGAGACCTGCCTCCAAAAGGAAGGGAGGGGTCCAGGAACTGAGCTCAGTGGTGCCACACTTTCCTTGCAAGCACAAGGTCCTGAGTTCAATCCCTGGTACGGGGTGGGGTAGGGGGCAGGAGGAGGAAGAAGAAGTAGAAAAAGAGGAAGAGAAGGAGGAGGAAAGGAGGAGGAAATGGTGCCTGAGTGGATCATCAGGATTTAGCCAGGAGAAGCAGGGATGGGAGGGATGGACTTAGTCCCAGCAGTTTGAGGGCCAGAAGGTTGATGGGGCTAAAGAACGGAAAGCCAGGGTATGGCGCAGCAAGACTGTGCCCTTTTGCAGATAAGGAATCTGAGATTCAGCAATCACAGGGGACTTGCCCAAGTCATCCAGTGGGACAGAGTCTGAATTTAGAATCCAGGTCCCCAATCAAGTGAAATAGAACTTCAGTCATTGAGCACAACTATGAACTGGCTCATGACATATATTGAGTACTATTATTCCTTCCGTTTGACTGCTGAAACCAGGGCACAGAGAGATTGAGTGATTACCCAACGTCACCCAGCTAGGAAGTAACCAAGCCTCAGGTCATTCCCTGATTCCAGACCACTATTCTCCGCCCTCTAACTCTCCAGCAGCTTCCAGCCTCACACCAGGCTTCACTCAGACTCCAGAGGAGACTCTGAGGGCAAACCCTGACCTTCTTTAGAACCTCAGGCAAAGCCAGGAAACTCCCTGACACCCCTGAAAGCCTGGGATCCCCCAACTCTGAAATAAAAGAGAGCAAAAGAGCCTGGCTTGCAAGACTGCTGTGAGAAAAAAAGTAATAAAAAATAATGACAGGACTTGTACATGATAATACATGATAAAAATAATTATAGGGCTCCGGGCAAACAGCCTGAGCTGTACAGATACTGACTCTAATGATAGCAGGAATTTATGGCCCTGAGGCTGAGTGATAGGAACTGGGGTCACCAGGGAGATCACAGGCAGAAAACTCCCTTTCCCCCGAGTGTCTCCCTCATGGCCAGGCAGTGATTGGAGAGGCTCGAAGAAGGCCACTCCCTCAGGGCGATGGGCCGCCATTAGTCACCCATCTGGTTGGGACTTGGGCTCTTGCCACTGCCTTTTCAGACACCTGCACTGGATTAACACTTTATAATGACTTGGTTCACTCTTTCATTCTCAGGGCCCCAAGGAAGCAGAGAGCAGATGGTGGTGGAGGAGGTGGGGCAAGACCAGAAGAGACAATGACTTATTCTTCTCTGTCCTGTGGACACTCACTGAGGGCCACTCTGCGTCTGGGACACCAGGGACTGGCCCAAGGTCACAGAGGGCCCTAGGCTGGGGAGAAGTCAAGGCTGACCCTGGGTCCCCAACTCCAGGTTCCACCACCACAAACAAGTCTAGGGGGGGCCACCTGTACCCTCTGTGGACTCTTGCCCTCCCTGCCCCATTCCCAGAGAATCCTTAGACATCGGAGCCCACCTTAGAGCTCTAGTATTGTTTTTTATAAAACTGGAATCGACTTATCCCATAAGCTCAAACAATACAAAGCAGCATAAAGAACACTTCAAAACGTTGAAATTTTACTTCTGGGGGTGAAGAACCACCCCTAAAAGAGGTGGCAGAGCTAAGTGCTCACCAGCACAGCCTCCCAGGCCCAAGTGCCTGGCGCCCAAGATGGCGCGCACACCGGCACCCAGCAAGCTTTACACTTACTATTTCCACATTTTACAATGTTTGTGAAGTATAATTCCCCAAAAGTGTTTTTGAAATGCAAAGGAACAATAATAAACCCTATATATATTTTCAGTAATATCTAATTAACGAGGTGTTTGTAAAGATAAAATGAGAAAAAGCTTGTGACTCTTAGCATGTTTTAGGCTCTCATACTAAGAACCCAGTAAACAGAATCCCTATTATGAAACCCTCCTGTGTCTCTCTACTGCAGGTTGATTGGAGCGCCCTCAAGTGTCAATTTTTGTCATAGCGTCTCCACGACTGTAAATGGCACTCTCCCCAAGCTTGGAGTCTCAATTCCACAGGGCAATGCTTTGCTTTGCTTTCCTTTGCTTTGCTTTGCTTTTGCTCCGGGACTACATAAGAGTACCAAATTCCACATCACACTAATGGGTCTCAAGTCTAACTCAAGCCTTGCCCTGATAGCACCCTGAAAGGCATCAGAGTCAAGGCAGGAACACAGAGGTCTACACCCGCTGGATTCAAGTGCAGTCAGAAACCTGATCTGGCTTCCCAGGTACTGCCATCCTAATATCCGAAAATGTCATCTTCGCACAGCTTACAACTGCTCTTTTGTTAGTAACCATCACAGCTACTTCTCAGCCACAACTTCTTGTGTGCCTGTGACCATACTAAGGCAGAGATGTCCATTTTTTTTCCTTTAATCTTTAAAATGACCTGTGAGACACACATTGTTTTGTGGCTCCCCCCTAACAATAACCCTTGGGCATCTTTCCATGTCAATAAATAGAGCTGGGCCGGTAAGTACTTGATTCAAAGGCTGAGAAACTTAAACAGTCAGCAGCCCGGCTCAGGTGAAGATCAATAATAGTTAACGTTTATTGAGTGCTTTATTATACACCAGACCCTATGCTAATTGTGTAACAGGAACTAGCTCACATTTGATCCTGAGACAATCCTAAGGAAGCTTCTATCAGCACTATTCAGATGAGGAACCTGAAGCTCAAAAAGGCAAAGGAGGCTGGCCGAGTTCAGATGGCTGGTACAATTGCCCCGGCCAGGATTCAAACCCAGGTCCCCCTGACTGTGGCGCTGGGCTCTCAGAGGACCCCGTGGAGGACTTCATGGAGGAGGATGAGGGGAAAAGAACCCACTGGCAGAGCCCGAAGGCGGCAGGGGGAGGGGGCTGAGATTCTGGACAGGAGGACTTCCTGGAAGCTCTGCCACTTGGACTGAGCCTGTGTCTCTGGCCAACAAAGGGCAGGCAGGGCGGGGGGTGTTAACCTATGGCCCACGTCCCATTCCTCACTCTCATCCCACTCCCTTACCCCTGGGAGCCACTATTTTATTCTCTATCTCCATATATTATTATTATTATTATTATTATTATTATTATTTCACATATAAGAGAATAACACAGTATTTTTGTCTGGCTTATTTCACTTAGAGTAATGTCCTCCAGGTCCATCTATGTTGTGGCAAATGGCAAGATCTCTCTCTCTCTCTCTCTCTCTCTCAGGTCTTAGACAAAGTCTTGCTATGTACCCCTGGCTGGCCTCAAACCTTTGGTCCTCCTGCTTCAGCCTCCCAAGTGCTTAGATGACAGATGTACCCTAGGTGTCCTTTCTTTTTAAAGGTTGAATAATATTCCATCATACATACATACCACAGCTGCTAGGAACATGGGGTGCAGACATTGGTAGACGGTGGTGGCCCTTGTCCCTGGATGGTTTTACACAAGACACACATGGGTTCAAATCCTAAATGTGTCACTCTCTAGTTTCTTTCCCTAAACAGAATTCCTGAGATAAACTGTTATAGAAAAAGACTATGCTTTTCCTGGTGGTACTGGGGACTAAACACAGAGCCTTCTCACTGAGCTACTGCCTCAGCCCTATTTTTTCTTTTTATTTTGAGGCAGAAATGTTGCCCAGGCTAGACTGGAACTTACTGTCCTCCTACCTCATCCTCCCGGAGGCTGGGATTTCAGGTGTGCACCACCACATCTAGGACCACGTATGTTCAATTGTGCAATTTGATGAGTTTGGATGCATAACTGAACCCCTAGGACCATCACCACAATCAAGGTGACAAGTATGTCTGTCACCCCCAGCCCCAGAGAACCGTGGTTACTACCAATGATTTCCTTTCACTGCAGATGACTTTATGTTTTATATCCTTTTATAGAAATGGAATCGTTCAATCTTACTCTTTTCTTTCTTTCTTTTTTTTTTTTTTTTGGTACCGGGGATTGAACTTGGGACCTTGTACTTGGGAGGCAGGTGCCAGAACCACTGAGCTAAATCCCTGGCCCAATCTTACTTTTTTGGTCTGAATCTTTCACTCTTCCTAATTATTTTGAGACTCGTTTACATTGTGGTGCATATCCATAATTTGTTCCTTTTTATTGCTAATTAGTATTTACATATACAAATGGCACCTGACTTACCGTGATTTGGTTTATGATCTTTTGACTCTACCCATACAGCCATTCTTTTTTTTATGTCCAATATATCTTCAGTGAATAGAACACATTATAAAATGGGCTCTGTGTTAGAGGTTTTTGCTTGATTGTAGGCTAATTTGTTCTGAGAATGTTTAAGGTAGGCTAAGCAGAGCCATGATCATCAGCAGGTTAGGTGTATTAAATCTATTTTCACATGGTATTTTCAACGTATGATTGGTTTATTGGGACATAATCCTTCGGGAGCCTAAAAGCATCCATGTGTCACAGTTTTTTGACCCATTTCCCTCCACTCCCCAGTTTTTGCCTATTACAATTAAAGCTTCTGAAAAACATTCATGTAGATAACTTTGAGTGGACCAATACTTTCATTACTCTTGGGTAAACACCTAGGCATATAATTGCTGAGTCATATAAGTATATGTTTAACTTTTAAGAAACTGTACATTATTTTCCGAAGTAAATAATGTACAATTGTTGTACATTATTTGTACAATTTGCATTCCTGCCCGCCAAGTACAAGAGCTCCGGTTTTGGGGGCCAGTCTTTTGGACGGCAGCCATTCTGGGTGCACCTGGTGTTTTCACCTGCGAATAGAGCAGAGGGTTTCTTGGACTTCCTGAGCCCCAGTTTTCTCATGTGTGAAATGGGGATGATCATCTCACCTCTAAAAGGCGGTGTGAGGACATTGGCAGTGGCTAAGGCTGGGACCAGAGGTCTGCGAAGGACAATTTGGGTAGCTGCGCGGAGAGGGGTCAGCACCTTTTTGTTCTGCCAAGGGAATGAGGAGACTGAGAACCAAAGAGGGAAAGTGATCTCTCCAAAGTCGTAGGATAATTGGTAGAGTGAGACAAAAGTCCAAGCCTCTAACTGCGGAGACCAGCGATCTTTCTACTTCACTCTTGGAAAGAGATCCTAAGATCTCTGCAAATTATCTTGCAAGGGAAAAAAATGCCTAAAGTCAAAAGAAGCCGGAAACCCCCCCTAGACGGCTGGGAGTTGATGGAGCCAGCACTGGATGAATTGGATCAAAAGAGGAGAGAAGCTGAAACAGAACCTCATGAGGGAAAGAGGAAACTGGAGTCTCTGTGGCCCACCTTCAGAATCCACCACCAGAAAACCTGCTATATCTTTGACCTCTTTTATAAGTGAAAAGCTATAAGCAGAGAACATTATGAATACTGTATTAAAGAAGGCTACGCAGACAAAAACCTGATTGCAAAGTGGAAAAAGCAGGGGTATGAGAACTTGTGCTGCCTGCGATGCATTCAGACTCAGGACACTACTTTTGGGACGAACTGCATTTGCCAGGTTCCCAAAAGCAAGCTGGAAGTGGGTCGCATCATCGAGTGCACACACTGCAGCTGCCAGGGCTGCTCTGGCTGAGGCCATCTGGCTCTGAGCCCTCTCCATCCTGGACTTTGGACCTTGCAGGTTCTTACTGTCCCACCCTCTTCCTGGGAGCAGCTCTTCTTGGAGCAGCACCCTGGGCCCAAGTTGGAGCGTGGTCTCTTTAGGTGAAGGCTTGGTGTTCACCAGCTGTGATTTGTAACAATAAAACCGTTAACCCTCGAAAAAAAAAAAAAAGTGAAGACAGTGAGCTGGCCCACATGCACGTGTTGTCTAGGGACTAAAACATAGTAGGTGTTTCATAGAAGGCGGCTATTTTATCACAACTGAACCCCAGCCATCCCACAAAAGGGCGACTTACCCTTTGGGCATCCCCAACTATCTAGTAAAAAGTTGTTTCCTCTGCCTGGTAGACAATGCTGGTAGCCAGCAGGAGTAAAAAGAGTGGCATTGATCGTGCCAGGCACTCTGGTAAGTGCTTATGCATATTTAACCACTGCCAACCTTTGTGGGCTGGGTGGTTATTTTCCTTCCATGTTACAACGGGGAAAAGTGACCCGTCATTAGCCAAGGTCACAGTTAAGTGATGGAACTGGGATTTGAATCTATGTCTGTTTGATTTGAGGTCCAGAAGTCTCACTAAGGGAGTAATTGGCTCAGGGCTGGTGCAGTGGCCCAATCACAAAAGTACCACCTGATGCTCCGGCTCATCTTTAGTTTCTAAGATGCAGAGTTTGTGGCAAGGATTGGATGCGTGTGATTTAGGAAGAGAACTAATAGACACCAGCAAGTGACACTTTCAGGGGTGGGTATGCTGGCCCCATAAAGGACTTAAGAAGCTCTCAGAGGCATCCACACTTCCTGTATCCCAAATGAACCAAATTTTAGAACGTTCTGGAACATTCACTCCTAGATTTGTTGCGAATAATTCTCCTACTCACTGCCACCAACCAGTATGTTGAAAAGCATGACCTAAGCCATAATCAAAGCACATCTCCAGAGCCAGCTACGTGTCTCAGTGGTAGAGCACATGACTATCGTGCATGAGACCCTGGGTTCAATTTCTGCTACAAGAAAAAGTAAAGTTGCATACAAGGCACACCTTTATTTTTGTCTCCCAATGTCCTTTTCAAAATGTATTCAGTAGAGAAATATTTCCCTGCCAGTGAATGAAAACTTGTCCCCATTACTTTTCTGTTCACTCTCAGCAAACAGTTTGGTTGAACACACAATCTCAAGTTAGAAATTAGAATGCCCAGTCAGGCTGCTAACTAAAACTCTCAATTCGATTGGGTTTAAACCTTCTCCTCATGCCCAGGTGGCGCCTGCTGGGCCGAGCAGTAGGAGTGGCCTCCTCTCCGCTCCTCCTCCCCAATGAGTGGGGCCCAGGGTTCTGGTAGAGACAAGGACAGAGCAAGGGTCTCATTGTCACCAACATGGCTGCCTTTGAACTCTCTGGACCCAGCAGCCATTTAAAGCTGCCCTTTATGTTGTAGGACAATGTTGCAGATTCCATAGAGATGGCCGTCCCCACAAGGCCCTCTCGCCTTGACCTTGGGGAATGCATCTCTCCTCCTGGGATCCTTTGCAACTCCTTCCTTAGTCCTTAGGAACCCATACCCAATGCCAGCATCTTGCTGCGATCTCCCTTCCCCCTCCAGGAGGCCCTAGGGAACGAGACCCAGGCTGATCCCTTGCAAGTGCTCTCTGAGCACAGGTGTTCTATGGGAAACTCCCAAGAATCCTTTCCCTGAAAGACCTGGGTGTGGGCTGACCTTGGCACATTTACACTCTCTGGCTCCTTTTCCCATGTGGCCTGGCAGCCACATCTCTCAGCCTCTACATGTCCCTGCTTCATGAGATCCTGGGCCCCCACGTAGGTGTCACACACTTACGCTCTCCAAATAGCACTTTCTTCACACGAGAAACCCCCATTTCCACATTCCACCCTTCCTAGGAGAAGTCCACCAAATAATCCTTGACTCCTCACCATAGGAGACCTGTGGATAAAAATGGGGGTAAAGCCTGGCGAGGTAGCACACACCTGTAATCCCAGTACTAGGGAGGCGAAGGCAAGAGGATCGTGGTGAGTTAGAGGCCAGCCTGGGCTACATAGTGAGTTCAAGGCCAGCCTGGGCTACATAGAGAGACCCTGTCTCAAAAAAACAAACATAAACGGGGGTGGTAAAGCCTGGCACAGTGGTGCACACTTATAATCCCAGCTACTCAAGAGGCTAAATTAGGAGTATTGAAAGTTCAAGGCCAGCCTGGACTGCATGGGAAGAACTTATCTCAAAA